CTGTCGACGAGAACGCAAGCGAGCAGACGAAGCAGCTCCGCGCGCAGCTGGCAGCTCTGGAGGCCGAAGCCAAGACCCTTGGAATCGACCCCAACGCTTCGGAAGCAGGCGCGTCACCGTTCTCCTACCGTGGTCGGGGGCGAGGATATGCAGGCTATCGGGGCGGCTTCGCTCCACGTGGTCGCGGGTATGCTCCTCCATACCGCGGAAGCTTCCGTGGGCGAGGTGCTGCCCGTGGCCGCGGCGGTGTTCTCCGGCTTGACAACCGGCCCAAGAGAATCGCTGTCTCGGGTGTGGAATTAAATACGGAAAAGGATGAAGCGCTGAGACAGTTCCTCATTGTAAGCATTCCCCTTCCCTGAACTCACCAGCATCGTCCAATTACTGACAACTGCCTTCCCAGGGCGTCGGCGAGTACGAGTCCATCGAACCTCACCCTGAACAGCCAAGCACTGTCGTCGTGGCCTTCAAGGAGCGCTACCAAGCTGAGAAATTCATGCGCGGACCGTGGAACATCCCATCCGTCGGAGAGGTCCAGCTCGGCTGGGTCCCCAACCCTCCCATCAGTGCTACTACGCCTGCTCAGATCTCGGGCCCTGGCTCGGATACTAAGCCGACTTCGGACGAAGATACAGTCATGGAGTCTACGGCGGGCTCGTCACTCCCTGCGGACCAGCTCAGTGCTCGCAAGGATGTAAACCACGACGTCGATTACGACGTTGCGGAGATGGATGACAGCTGGGGTGTGGAGTAGACAATCCTTGACACTTTTGAGCATCATGTATGGATATCATGGTTGGCGTTATGTTGTGATTTTTAAAAAAGGAAGTTAGATCTTTGCTTATTCTGCAGAGAGAACCGTGTCTATCCCGGTGTCGTCAGACCTGCGTTCAGGTGTATTTACAGCCTTGAACACTGTACATTGTCAAGAGTTCCACTAAAACGGCCTTGTGCCCCTTGCCAGCCTCAATGTAAATCCCGAGGAATCAGTTCCACGAGATATCCATCCTGCAGCGAGTGAGTTCCATGCCACAGCACATTGCTCGATTCTTTGAAGGGTAATGATCTTACCGGATCAGCGACATACGCAATCTGATCAAACAGCCTCTGATAACTCGGATGGATCTCGCCCACACCGACTCCCCTTTCCTCCTCCCAAGAACTCAACGGTACACTCTCTCGCGAACTATTACCCAACTCCTTGATGATTGGGACCCCTTCCTTCCTAAGCCTCTCCAATGTGCCCGCAACATTCGGGACCGTGAACCCTAAGTGTCCGAAGCCGAGATGCGGCGGCGTATTGCCAGTGGACATGTTGAAGCCGCCCTCGGCGTCTGCTTTTTCTGTCCCGTGGACATGGTACAGTTCCAGCAGTCCTGGGGTCTGCGTGAGGACTGGGGGGTTAGCGACTCGGGCAGACCAGGAGGGCAGGTCTGCTCGGTCTTCGGGTGTGGGAGGGTAGCCTAGGTAGTATAGTGTGAAAGGGCCGGCATTCATGGTGAAGACTGTGCGCATGCCCATGAGCTTGATGTAGAAGTGGAGCGAGCGCTGCGGGTTCCGGACGCGGAGCATGAAGTGATTCAGTTTGTAGCCAGCCGTGGGGCTGTTTTCCGGGAGCGGGGGGTCATTGTTGTGACCGCCGGGGAGAAAGACGCCCGGATCAAAGGGAGAAGAGGAGGATGATAACGCCGATGAGCTTGAGAAGTTTGAGCCTTGGTCTGCACTCATTTTTGTTGCTGGATTGATATTGCAGGGCGCCTAGCCCTTAACAGGCCAGAGGAGAGGGCAGTGTTCTGAAATGCGGGGTGATAAACAATAGACCAGATAATACGGATTTGATTATGCCGGACAGATAAAATGCACAGTAGTAAGACTTCAGCTTCTGAAGATCATGAGATTGTTGACAGATAGATTTATCCAAGAAAGTTAGTTAGAGCAAAGCAACGTGGACCAGCGCTGGGATATTGCAGTTTGCAGGTTGCTGGCCTTATTGCGCCAATGCCGATGATGCTGCATACCAATCGCAAATGTGTCCGAGGGCCCCGCAATGGGCGACAAAGGTGACTATTCGACGACCTGCAAAGCATAATGTCATAATGCAGCTTCTTGCATGGAACCAACTCAGGTTCATATCAAAGCCAGAACTCCAAGAAAGATGCCAGAATATTGTACAGCCTCAAGCAGGTGTCCCTCTATCTTTAGAGTTTTTGAGCAAGCGCAAAAAGCACCCAATAGATAGCTTGCACCTGGATGAACTTGGCAGGGCCCCATCAAATTCTGAATGGATGGACAAAGTTTGAGACATAGCGGACATGTAGGATTATGCAATGCTGTAAGACCGAAAATTCGCAATGGAAATGCTCCAAATATGATGCCATGCAAAACAGATAGTGATAGATTCAAGGAGGCACCAAGAAAGCAAAGTAGTGAGAGAAATCGTGAAAGGACTTTCCATTCTGAGGCCCATCAAGGATGGGACGAAGGTCTCCTCAGTCGGAAAGAGCAACGGACGTCATGCGAACACTCAACCCACGAGATCAACGGTACCTAGGTTTCGTCTCGTTATCGCTGTCGCTATCCTCCATCTGGTCAAGCATGCGATCAATCTCGTCCCCCGCTTGCGCTTCCAAGTAGCGAGCTTGACCTGCACGACGGTGATCTTTCCCGGCCGTCTGAGAGTCTTGCATTTGACTCCCGCCGGTGCTTGATTCTGTACTTAGTGATGTTTGGCTGATGCGCGAAGTACTTTGCTGTCTCTGGGAACTCGGGTGGTAAGCTGAATTACCAGGACTGGACATGAATAATAAGGTTTCAATTGCGTCTTGTTCCATTGATGCATTTTGCGAATGCGTTGACTGCCTCGATAGGCCGTTATAGGGCGTGGATGTCGGCTGAGATAACGATTGGAGGGGAGGCGTTCCCGGAACGAGAATCTTCTGTGAACCATCAGTAGTTCCATGCTGAGGACGATGCTGCCTGTCATCAAATGATGAGACGTAGCGTGAATGTTCGAGTGCTTGGTTTGGATTCGGCCGCCTGCGGCGGGAGCCGCTACTACCACTTGGAACAATATCTGCGGGAGGTGCGAGTCTCGGTGTTGCCAACATTCGTTTAGATGAGAATGGTGAGATGGGAGATTTTTTTGATGGGGAAATAGATGATAGATCGTCTGACCGCGCTGCAGGGGAGAGCCGTGTGTTTGGAGGGAAGAGATTGGACTGGATGGGCATATCTGGCGCGGAGACCGGCGAACCGTCTGGAGAGTCCTTGTCTTGCAGGCGCGAACCATCAGCCCCATCAGCGTATGGTGGACTTTTGACAATGACTGGCGGAGTGGAGGAGCTTTCTTGTAGTAAATTCAATGGCAGTTTCGCCTGCGCGTCGAGAGATTGCCTGCTTTTCTCTATCTTGGCTGCGGCGTAAGACAAACGAGTACGAAGGTGAACGGACAACTGGAGTTTATGATATCAGCACCATCAGGACAACGCAGAATATTGCATTACAAGGCCAATTTACCGCAGCGATCTTACTTCCACGTGAGCGCCAGCCGATACTCTCAGCTGGATGCCTCTCCGTGCTAATCGTTCCGGGGCTAGGAGGTGCTACTGATGTGTTCGAGGGCTTAATTTCACCCGTTGCGGTTCTTTTGTGACTGCGGGCTAGCTGGGGCGAGCGCTGAGTCCCTGAAATTGATGCAACATCACATTCTTGCCCACTGGAAAGATTATGCGAGGAAAGGCCTCGAGTCAAGTTATTCCCTTGGGAGCTCAATGAGGGCTGCGACCGTGCAGTGCTTCCTCCGGGGAAAGTCCCCATTTCAGGCAATTGACCCCTGGATACATGGAAAGAATCGAGATTGCTTCCTGGTGCAGCCGGCTCAGCTCGAGCCAATGGGGACTGCGGTGTTGGAGCAGGAGGCGGATCTGATGTTTGCTTAGCAACGTCGTGAGCTTTGTCGGGAACTTTGGCGCTTTCGGAGACAGAGTGATTGTTCTCGCCAGCAGCCGATAAGCTGTCATTTGGACAGGTCAGATGCGCCGAAGAAGGCTCAGTAAACGGCACGTCAACATGCGACGGCGCGCTCATAGCGACCAAGCAGTAGCTAACAACGCGCTTGCCTGAGCGGCAACCTCCAATGACCCCAGCCCCGACAAGACTTGCCTTGCAAGTCTTAATTTCGAGTCCAGATTAGAATCCAATATCCGGGATCCGTCAAGGAGTGTTCTGCGACAGACGGGCAGATTTCCAGGACCAGCCAGGACGGTTCGCCAACCTCAAGTGGCACGAGTGACGGTATCACCGCCGGCGATGGCAAAGCGGGTGCGGAAGTGGAAAGCAGACAAGATGGAGAACGATTGGCTCCGACAGGTCTTTAATCCGAATAAATTCGCTGCAAGGAGGTACTCCTGTAGTCTGCAGCTCTACTCGATACACGCGCCAGGCGTGATTGCGAAATGCGACAGCACAAGCGGCGACCCCGGGCGACGGGATCAACCACTCGATGATTCAACTGTCAACAACTAATAGACGATTAGTTAGAAGTCTGTCAACAGTCACAGGACAACGATGCAGGAAGGCATGTGGTATATATTCCCTTCACAGATAAGATTGAAAAGTAACAATTGACGCTTACTCTTCCTTGATCATGGAATTGACTTGGTGGTCATCGAGAGGAGGACGCGTTTCGCGCCACGGTCACGTGTCGATTTTCCACTCTAGTGCCTTTTTCAGATAAAAGCAACAGGCTGAATGCGGTAAATCAGAAGATCTACTGTATATTGACTGATATAATATATATATATATAACAGGCATCTGGAGGTATTTAGAAGAATAGACTAGATATCCTGATCGGAAGGTTGAATCAAACAACGCCATCCACAATGCAATATGTACGTGGATACTGCATGGACAGTACCACTTAAAGAGACTTTTGACAACCGAACAAACCCATGGGATATTGTAAGACGTAAGGGACATGGTAACAAAAGCAGAGCTGATATCACTTGCGTTTCTTGCCTCCTCCACCTTCTGCGTCTTGGTTCTTCCGCTTCCTCCCTTCCCGTCGCCAATATTCGTCACGCTCCCGCTTCTCTCGCTCCGCTTTCTTTTCAAGACTTTCCGCGACCTTGGCGCGGTACACCTTACGACGCTCCTCTTGCTTCGCGGCTCGTTTGGCCTGCTTCTCATTCCGCAGAGTGGTGAGTTTCTGCATAAGGTCTCGCGCCTTCTTCTCCTCTCCACCAAGCACCACCGCGCGTTTCTGCATGTAAGTCTTGTCTTTATGTGGCTTCATCCGGGTGATCTGGGATTTGAAGGGGAGGTCTGCGGCCAGCTGCCGTGGCACGCGAAGAGGGTTGAAATTACGAGTAGGTCGCTCGACCGGGCGATAGGCTGAGTCTTTGTTCTGCGGAGTGGGGATACCCTTCTCGCGGCGCACCTCACCGGTCAGTCGCATACCCAACCAACCGCTATCGCTCGAACCTTCCTCGTCCAAGTCGAGCAGGTTCGTCACCGGGTTGTAGAAACGGTGTGGTTTAATCGGGTACCATGCACGCAGGAAGACGATGTCGCTCATCAGGATCTTATCCTCGAAAGTGGCACGGAAGCATCCTTCGGGTTTGCTGAGGGCTCGCTTGATCTGACCACGAATGCCGGAGACAGTTCGGATTGAAGCACCCTCGAACTTGGCAATTTCAAGCGACGAGTTGAACATGTCTTTGATGAAGGCGGTGTTCTTGAAGATCTTGTAAGGCACACCGGTAAGCTTCAACTTCTTGACGATCTCCGTGTGTTCGTCCACACTCAATACCACACCAGTGGCCGCAATGCGGAAGCCTGGCGTCTTGTTCGAGAGCGACTGTACACAGCTGAAGCCTGTGTTCGGCGCGACAAGCGGGCCGTAGAAGGTAGCAAAGCAATGCATGTGCTCAGGGGTATATTTAAGCATGCGGTTTCGTGTTCGACTGTCAGATGTACTGTAGATGGGCAGGGTCTGGAAGCGACGCCAACCCAAGGAGAAAATCAGAGGATCATTGGTCTTCAAGATCTTTTTGTGCCAACGGTGCCTCTTGATTCGGACCTGCACGTAACCGAATCGATCTTCGGTGGGGGCCAGCCCGCCAACGATCACTGGGAATCGAGGGTTGAACTTGGTAGCGAACTCGCATGGCACTTTCTCGAGGACTATCCTGGCATAGGTTCCAGCTCTGAAGCCTTCCGCTCTGGCCCTCGAGGCAGGGTCAAGAGTTTCGAATTCAGCGCGGTTGATGTCCTGCTGCTTTTGCAGCTTCGCCTTTTGCAGCTCGTACCATTGGTCCTCGCCGAATTCTTCTTCTCCGCCTGCACCTGCCTGTCGTGCATTGTCTTTCGAGTTGGCAAAACCTTCGCGGTCCTCTTCCTCGAATCGCAGTCGCAGTTCTTCTTTCTTCTTCGCGTTGCGTTCACGCTCGGCCTCTAGGTCCACTGGACCTTCCTCCTTCTTAGTGTCATCTCCGTCTTCGTTGTCGGAGAGTCCATTGAACACCTCGCCGGTCTCGAGATCCTCAAAAGTGCCGTCTCCCTCGTCGTCTTCGTCGAAAGCATCATCGAGCTCATCGTCGTCCACGTCGTCGTCATCATCGTCATCCCCACCAGAGAGTTTAGCGGTAGCGAAACGACTCCGCAGAGCCTCGATCATATCACTGTCTTGCCATTTTTGTTCCAGTTTCTCATAATCATATTCAGGAACAGCACGATAATCCGATTGTTCTTCCTTCTCCGTGTTGGTCTTCTTGAAGAAATCGTCTTCATCCTCTTCTCGCTCCTCGTCTTCGAATTCTTCTTCCTCATCGTCTTCGCCCCGCCATCTCTTCACCACATCTGCTGGGGCAATAGACTCGTCGTACATCATCCGTGAAAGGTCAGCAACACGGAACTTTGGTCGCTTGCCATGAAGGGCCTTCGCATTAGCAATCATGTTTTCTTTCCAACGAAGCGCGCCGTCATCATCCTCGTCCACGTCGTCCTCGTCGTCAACGTCGCTTTCGAGCTCCTGATCCTCAACAGACGAAATGGAACCCAGGTCGGAATCACTGTCCGCAAAGGCAAGATCCCCTTCTTCACGATGGGCACTGCCATTCTGCCTTTCCTTGAAGTTCTCTTCAAAATCTGGTGGGGCGGAGACATCTTCCAGGTCACCATCCTCCTCGTCGCTGAGATCGCCGCCTTCTCCATCCTCATCCAATTCTTCGTCTTCTCCGCTTTCGAACCCTTCATCCTCATCCGACAGTTCCTGTTGATCGTTCTCTCCTTCCATGACTCTCACTTTTCTCCTCTCTTTTCTGCCAACATTGTCCCCGTCATCATCCGCTTTTTCCAAAACCTCACCACCGCTGAAGAGACGGACACCACCCTCTGCCTCACCAAGCAATTTGCGCTCACCCTGCAAACCGACAACCAACTGCTCTCCCAAGCCGCGATCTTGATTGTCCTCATCTTCACCTCGTTCGAAATTCGATGTCTTGACGTCAATGTATACGGCATCCTTATCGACCAAAACACCACCGACATCTGACATGGGAGCGAATAGGAGTTTTTGCTTCTCGCCTAGTCTGCGTTTGCTTGCCCTGCCAGATGTCTTGGCAAGTTGCTGATCCATGTACGGGGTCGGACACGGGTCTGGGAGGGCTTCAATACCCGCAACTGTCAAGTCGCCAACGCCAGGAACGTGAACTCGTGCGCCTTGAGCGGGAAAGTTTGTTCCCCTCAGATATCCGTACAGCGCGACGGTCCGGTCGCACTTGGGATTCTCTTCAATCTGGGTTGGAGGTGTGATATCTAGAAACCGATCTGCAAGCGCGTAAGGGTGAGAGTTTCGCCAAACCAACGGCCGAGGATTCTTCATGACGGACAGGAAGCGGGAGAGATTATGAATTTCGCGGTCAGGATAGCGGCCGTTCACCACGCCAGAGAGGTAAAAAAGCTTTGCGCCGTTGTAGAGTTCACTCCAGAAACGGTGCTTCAATCGTTTTTTCGCCGCGCGAAGGGTGCTTTGCTTCTTGAAAAGATCCAGGTGCGTCAAAATGCCGAACACATTTCCAGGCATACCACTAGAGGCCAAGACATTGAGGAATTCCATGGTCTCCATCTCGAACCCATAATTGCCGTCGATCATCAGAAGAACAATGTCCGCAATTTTGGAGATATCGATCATGCTAGCAAGGGAGTCGGAAGGACATTCGATGATTGTGAGCCGTCGGCGTTTCGCCGTCACCACCGTCAGAGGCCCTTTAGGTGTACTAAGTGTTTGTTTCGTATAACGACGAATCAAGGACTTAATAAGGGTGGTTTTTCCAACCTGCGAAAGTGAACGATTGTCAGAACCATCTTCTCAAGCTTTCTTTGGGATGGTCGTCATCATCAAGCGGAATAACTTACACCTGGAGGTCCAACAACCGCAACGACAAGCGGGGGAGCCTCTTCGGGCAGACGATCTACCAAGGGTACATGTAGCCTCTTCTCTTTGATCTAAATTGGTATAAGAATCAGCGGACAAGTTCTGCGGAGATAAGATGAGGGTGCAAGGAAGAATGCGTACATCGTGGGATCGCGCAGCCTGTCTGCCACCCTTTCCAGGATTCGAGAATGCGAATGCCTTCGGGTTAGCACCTGGAGAGCCAAGTATCATATCAGTATGTTGTTTTCACAGAGAAAATGTCAAACCAAGATGTCGAGTCCGTATAACGAGCTTGTCAAGCACTGAACATACCACTGTATTTCTTTTTCTCTTTTGCGGGCCTATGCGCCCTGTTCGACTGGTCCTCCATCTTGGTAATTCGAGGTCTATGACCTCTAAGGAAAAGTAATTTTCTATTGATGAAAAGATTTCAGCGCAAAGCGAAGCAAAACCGACGATCTCTTCTTGATCTTCTATCAAGCTAGACCCAAATTATTATTTCCTTTTGCCGGCGCGGAATTTCTCCCCGCCGATATCAATCAAAAAAAAAAAGATTTTGCTTGAAGGTTGTGGTCTTATTGCCTGGGGCAGAATGATTGTCACCTGACCATACATGTTATCAGACCCACTCCGGCCCGGTCATGAGCGATAAGGGCGGTGCCCTAGAATCCGGCCCGGCATATCTGGAGATACGGAGTTCAGGTTCCATCTCGTAACCAAAAAGGCTGATAAACTTGGGGCAGTTCTGGGCTCTTGGGGTATGAGCGGGGCTTGACACCATGTGGCATGACGGCCGCCTCCGGAATGAAGCCGAATTGGCTCCCTATTAAAGCCAGAGTTTATCCGCTGGCGCAAACTGTCATTTGGCTTTGAATCAAAGGTATAGCAACGGTTTTCAGCGAACACATCCATAATAATGACTACATCTCGTCGGCCTCCACCCGCGTACACTGCTGCTAAGGATTCAGCTGTGTATGGCACGTCCCAAGTCTATAGGGATATCTCGGAGAGTGCTTCCAGCGATTCAGGGAGGATTCTCGAGACATCATTCACTATTCGTCCCTGCTCCGGACAGGCCTGGGTTGTGCCTGCCGGGCATATCTGTCGACTGACTACACCAAAAGGGCCCCAAGTGGGCGATCTCAACATTTGGAATGCGAATAATCCCCGAGAGCGACTGTGGGCTGCTCGCACGCGTCAAATCCACGCTTCCCATGTGTCGGTCGGTGACCGCCTGTGGTCAAACCTGCCATATCTACGGCCCCTCGTCACCATAACTGGAGACTCCCTGAATGGTGGACAATTACATGAGGTTTTGGAAGTCAACGGCCAGCGGAAGGAGGGCGTTGGCTTTGGTACTTCGCAATGGGGTGGACGTGTTCATGATTTGCTTGGAACCAGATGCGATCCCTACGTCAATCTGCTTATGGGTGGAGAAACCTTTGACTTCCACTGCCACTCGAACTTGACGCGCGCGGTCATGCCTTATGGTTTGACTGAGTTGGACGTTCATGATGTGCTTAACGTCTTTCAGGTAACGGGTTTGGATGAGCAAGGAAAGTACTTCATGGAGACATCGCCAGCTAAGCCGGGAGAATACTTTGAGTTCTTTGCTGAAGTAGATGTGCTCTGTGCACTGTCTGCTTGCCCAGGAGGTATGCGTTCCGTGTTGAGTCCGGACTGGGGACCGGATGCTAATGAGTCAACTGCAGGAGATCTCTCTCAATGGGGATGGGAGGCGAAGGGCGAGAAGATGGGAGCTACTACGCGTCCACTGGGTGTGGAGGTGTACAAGCTGGCTGATCCCAAGATACTGGATGGTTGGAGACAGCCTGAGAGCCCCAATTATAGGGGACTGCATGGGTTGCAAATGCCACGACGGGAAACCGATGATAGTGGCTATGTTGGTCTATAGTTGCGTCCATGAGCCATTTTGTACCCTGGGAAGCTCCTTGGAAAGGGAGTCTGACTTCGAACATTGAACAGTACTATATTCCGTGCTTCTGTTCCTTTCACGAGTGAACTTCAGCTGGTTGAACTGGGAAGTCGCCCTTTCTGTTATGAAGAAGCGAGAGCAGACCACAGCGTTCTTGCAGTGTCAGCGTTCTTAGATTCGAAGCATGCTTGCGAACGTTAAGGCCTGATTCCCATCAGACACAAAATTCATATGGCACCAGTCATTCATTCGGACGATCAGCTCGAGAGAGCTCTCAAATCTCACCGTGCTCGGTCAAGGAAAGTAGTGGTAAAAGTATCTTGTCAAAACAAACCAACCCAGGCCGACATTCCCCACAAATGGCAGGCAGATCCCACGAAAGACCAGCAATTACCGCAGGCACTGAGTAGGTAAAATCTACAAACTAGTTCAATTCATTATACAATGCTCCAAAGAAGCCATCTGAAGTGATGTTCTTAGGGCTGTAGAGCATACCTACTGTGTACCGACACGTGACCTGATTGCCCCGCCATCATCGGCTCACTCGATATCGTCATCGTGCTGCTTCAGCAGATGCGCGGAGCCTTGTCACATCAACTTGTTGGTGCATAGGTCTATTAGGTTGATTAATTTGTTGGCAGAATAGCGTCATCTTGCTCAAACCTACACAAGTGCATACAATCTAAAAAGAAGTTTAATACCTATGTTACGGTTGCTTTCATCTGCAGTGTAGTACCTAGTAGTTGCGTGGGTGGGGTGTAAACATTCGTTCTCTAATTTCCCGCAATGACAACAGCATTGCAATCTCTATCGCTGTAACATATCATGCAGACGTTTCGGAATGTTTTGAGTTAGATAGATACGGCACAATCATAGTTTGAATGCTCTTTATTGTATGGTTCTGATAGCGTAAGCCCCGAGGCACGACTTTGGAACCGACAGGTGTGGTAGCATAGTTTCCCCTCTCCAGCTGCTTCCTTCTCAGACCCCTTTCACTTCCAGTCTGGGATCCCCGCAGGCCATATAAATTGTCCCTCTTCCCTCGAGTTACCCACCTGACCCATTCTGTTACTCTCTTACGGTCTTACTACCTTGCCTTCCAACCAGACTCTCGCATCGTCATCTCCGCCTGTCGCAACAATCAGGAACTCATTATCTTAATAGCATCCCCATAGCGTCTCTGAAGATGCCTCTCTACAATGTTTGTCGCCCACCTTTTGACAAGTCTCATCATCCACGGAGTCTTTGACTGATCTGTATATTCTAGATCACCCTGAAACCAGATGCTCCACACGAGGAGCTGGAGAAGTGAGGCCCCCTTTAATGATTGATTTCCAGCCGCATATGCTTACGTCTACCTCTTCCCATCTAGCGCAAAGAAGGCGGCCCAGGAACACGGGGGAACCATCAAGCACCAGTTCACTCTCATCAAGGCGTTCACGTATGGCATTGTTCTTTTGCACTGCAGAGTTGGAAATTATTCGGCTGACCTTCAATCAGCGTTGAATTCCCAGAGGAGCAAGTCGGTATCCTCGAGTGCAACCCCCACGTCCATGTCGAGAAGGATCAAGAAGTCAGGATCCAGTGATGCAAGGCGCCAACTAGGGCTCTTGATTCTTTTCACCCGTCGTTCATCCTCCATAGAACCTGAACTTGGTGGATCCCAATGATTTTCGGAGGATGATACCCTATCTCAACGGCATAACGTCAGGGCTGGACCTCGGCTACAGTTATGTGTAGCTATATGTATGCGTTATAGATAGTCTACTGGTATACTTATGATGTGGTAATTCCTTTCGGAATGACTCTCAGTCCTCCTCTATTCCATAACCGACATCGACTGCCAGCTAGCAAATGAACGACTAGAGCACAAAAAAAGAGAATCGTACAGTGGAGGGCAATGGCTATTCATCACTGAATCAGTATACCAAGACAGACTTTAGAAATGAAATACAGATGCTGATACATTCATCTCGGAGAGAGTTGCACTTGGTGAAGAGTGAAGACATACCTAGATCCGATGTTATGGATCCTGGCTTAGTCGATACGTATCACGTGTCAATATCCATTTCCAGTAAAGTCTCATGGCGATCCGGAGTTAAGGTGAAGTCATCGTCAGTACTCCGTAGTCCGTATCAATGACTTGACTCAACCATTTTCGCTCAACTCGTTCATGATGGCTAGTGTCCACGATGACAGCCACAAGAATTCTTAGGGTATCGACTCTAAGATACAAGCATCAACTGAAGGGTCAATTCCCTTCTCACTCCCTTTACAAGGTGCGATGTTACTCGACATCACCACCTCACGATCAACACGAGTCGGCTCTACATCGGCCATTTGCACATGGCGCGAATGATGAAGTCGCGCGTCTTGCGGCTAGCCGTCGATGTCCACTGACGCTTGCAGATCTACTCAAGTGAGGCATTGCAGATTTGTTTTCGAAACATCTGATCATTTTTCTGACCACTTTGTCTCCCTTCAGGCACGGACGCCCACCTTTGTCGAAAGAGGCGCTACTCGCGTCTGCGAATTTCACACTATCCCTTCTACCTGCCCGACTGGCATCTCGTATAGAAGCGTTACGAAACCTCCCTTTCATCGTCGTTTCGAACCCACACATCTCGAAGATCTATAACAATTACGTTCACTCCTTATCGACTCTTCTGCCCTATCAGCAACGGCAGGTCACAACGCTGGAAGAGGAGAATAAGTTCGCAGATGTACTGGCGGACCTAGTGCATACGCATGCAAATACAATACCCATACTGGCACGGGGATTTCTTGAATGCCGGAAATATATCAGTTCAGCCGATGTGACTCGTTTTCTAGACACCCATCTACGAGCGAGGATTGGCACCCGGCTTATAGCAGAGCAACATCTGGCCCTTCACCTTGCCTCGCAGCCAGTTAGTGATGTCAGTTCCAGAACAGAGCAGTCGTCTGAGAACACCGGCCCTTCGAATTATATAGGCGTGATTGACACGGCCCTACAGCCGGCTCGCATTGTGAAGGTATGCGAAGATTTTGTTGGGGAGATCTGTGAGCTGAAATATGGTGTGCGGCCGCGCCTAAAGATCGGGGGTCAACCGGACGCCACGTTTGCGCACGTACCCGTGCATGTTGAGTATATCATCACCGAGCTTCTGAAGAATGCATTTCGCGCAGTTATTGAGTCAGGAAACGAGCGTGAGCCAATTGAAGTTACGATTGCTGCGGCGCCAGACGTTCCGATCTATCGGACCCACGATGCGCTTGGGAGAACGTCAAATGCCCCGGGTATCTACCCTGATGCCGACGTTGGCTTCGAGATGGACACCGTGGCTGGTACGGCAGATGCCAACGAGTCAATTAAATTCTCAACACCGTCATCGCAGAGCATAACCATTAGAATACGGGACAGGGGTGGTGGCATCCCCCGTGAGGTATTGCCCAACATCTGGTCCTATAGTTTCACTACGTTCTCCGATTCAAACCTACTAGACTCGGATAACGGAAATCTCGATGCCCTGAACACAATGTCTGCTAGTGGAGGCCAGCTGAGCAGTATTGCGGGACTTGGATATGGATTGCCGCTTAGCAGAGCGTACGCGGAATACTTTGGTGGCAGTATCGCTATTCAGAGTCTGTGGGGCTGGGGGACAGATGTTTATCTTACACTTCAAGGAGTTGGCAAGATTGAGTAGTCGTTCATTGAGTTCATGACGGGTTGCTTAGGCGCTCACTGTGATGAACACTGCCATGAAGCGCTTCAACGACAAGTTACCTCATTCACGTACCACATGCTGGCTACTCTGGTCACATTGAGACATTCCGATAAACGTTTCTTTTCCCGCTGATGACAATGACGTCTCACTCCAGCATTGCCACTACAATCTCGGACCTGGTGATGATTGCCTCGCGAAAAGCTCGACGAAATCCATGATGGGTAGGTCGTCCTTCTCAACCTCTTGGAGGATCTTCGAGATCTCCTTCTCGGTAAACATTAGCCGCATGTTTTTGGCGAACTTCTCTTGGACCGCTCGAGCTGTGGCAGGATTTCGCACATGACCGGCCGGGTACTCTACCAACACTTCGGGCAGTTCAGTGCCATCCTGCAGGTGAACTGTGAGCGCGGAGCCGATGCTTTTCTTATTTAGATCCAAATAGTCTCTCGTAAGGTGCTCGTCAACGTGAATGAAGATCCGCTCTCGCAGAGAAGCCAGCTCCTCGCTCCTGGCCCAGTAACTCTCATCGCGATAGTCCCTCGCCTCCGGCGCCGAGCCCTTCAGAAAGGCGAGCGCAATCACGTACTGGATGCAATGATCACGATCGGCAGCATTATGCAGCGGCCCTCGCTTATTGATGATCGAATCTGCCGCTTGGGTTGTTCGAACCTCAACCCTAGCAATGCATTCCGGTCCTAGCGCTCTCGCCCGGAGCCTACGAAGTTGCACAAGCGCCGCCTCAACAGCCGCAATTCCATGCCCCTCAACCGGCATCACCTTGAACAGGACATTCTGTATCGTCCACACTCCAAACGGCCGTGCCATCTCGAACCCATTCGCCCCAAACGCCCGCGCATAGAACCCAAACGGCAACGAACTCAGCGGCGTCGGTGCGCCAGGTTGGCCAGCACGCACCAGCAGAGCCAAATGCACCGCACGCATACACGCATCACCTGCCGCCCACCCTTTCCGTGGAATCGTGTTTGCGCCCGTCCTGTACACCCTGCTCGGATGGCCATCCATCCAGACGTGCGAGAGCGTCGCCAGCGTCTGCTCCTTGGTTAGACCGAGGAGCCAGGCCACGACGGCGGCCGAGGCCAGCTTGACAAGGATGACGTGGTCGATGCCGAAGGCGTTGAAGGCGTTCCTGATCTGGTAGCAGCCTTGGATCTCGTATGCCTTGATAAGCGCGGTGAGCAATGTGCGCATTGTGAGTGGGGGGCCGGCGTGTTTGTATCTTCCTGATGCGGAGGCGCGACATAGCCAGTCTGCGACGGCGAGGATGGCGCCGAGGTTATCTATGCCCCGTCGTCAGTGCTACTCAGCTCGATATGCGGGGGACAAGTCTAGCTACCAGAGGGATGGCCCCATTCTGCGCCGCCTAGCGCATCATTATGATCCAGGTACCGGATTAAAGTGCCCATGTCGAATGCTCCCTTGACCGGGTCCAGGCTGAGATTTGTCCCTGGCAGTCGGAAGCCGTTGGGGACCTCTGTGCCTGGCACAGTCGGGCCCAGTAGTTTCTGGCACTCCTCGCTCGTGGAGAGTGTTTCGATGGCGCATCCCATGGCGTCTAGGAGGGCCACGCGCGCAGCTGCCCAGGCCTTTTCGTCGTCGATGTGGTAGTGGAATACATACTGGGTGATGTCGACGATGGGTTTGTCGTAGACGCAGGACATGCTGTTGAAGGGACGAGTACTCTCCGTCGATGGAATGAAAGATTGGTGATAATGATACTTGATTTATTGTACCGATGCCTCTTCGTCAGCATTCTATGTTCGTAAGTTAGACGCTCGCGCGAGGTTGCATTGAAGGTATCAATCACATAAAGACATTGACGCTCAAATGTGCCACAGGATAGTAGTACATGTCCAACATAATACATCCAATGTATGATCATGATCATCATTTGCCAACATATCTCAAGATATCGACAAGCTTGACTGAAAGGATATATACACAAAGTAGATGGCGACAGCTCACCCAAAGCAATATAGAGGACAGTAAAAGCAAATATATACCAGCCAAAAGGATCACAATTAAAATCCCCCAACACCTCTCACCCTTTGTACAGCACCAACAACCCCTTTAGCCCAACTGAAGCGTCCAGGGTCAACCCCAATAGAACCCTTGGGCATCTCACCACTAACCGGATCATGCCAGCACCCGTCCTCGGTGCCCACAGCGCCGTAAATCGCCGTGTTCTGGTTCTGATTTATCTGCTCCAACCAGACACGGCATACAAGCGGCGAGTCGAGGAGGAGGTTCACTTCCTGGCTGTGGTAGAAGGATTGCGTGTCGAGATTTCCGTTTCCTGAGTTGTCAGTACGATTGTATGTGTGGGGTCGGGTAGGACTCACCCTGTATAGCCACCCGCTCGTCAATGATCATAAGTTTAACGTGGCAGCTTCGCTTTTTGTATTTATTGTGGATCGGTTTGGTTTGATCCTTGCCTACGTAGTTGTATATGCGCAGTCGCGAGCGTTCTTCGTCCGTATGCAGGGAGCGGTATAGTCGATTCGCGATCATCTCGTTCGTTCCGTTCTGGAAGGGAAGGAGTTGGCCAGTGTCGTTGTAGCCGAGGCAGAGATAGCATGTGACGGTGACACCGCGACGGACTGCGTCGAGTAGCGCCTGCAGTATTGGCTCTGCGTTCATGTTTGGAGTCTGGATGAAGATGGACTGCTTCGCGTGTTTGAAGGCGGAGAGGAAGGCTGAATTTTGTGGAGTGTAGATGCTCGTATGGTTTGGCGCTAAAGTATTGTTAGCATCTTGATTCTTTTCAAGTACCAATAGAGAAACTTGCCTCCCCAGGGTTCTCTGTTGACCAGGGCCATAGGAAATGGCTTGTGAGGTGGTAGAGTCACGTATGGCCGCATTGGCGGTTCCTGGTCGCTATCTGGGGCGTCGCCGGTTGTGTCTCGCTGAATTGTAGTATCTGAATGATTATTTAGCTTGCGGTCCATCCACGGGGGCAGGAAACATACTCAGATAGCGAGTGACCGCTTGAGTTTTTGATCCCCCTGCTCGGGGACGAATCGTGTCGTTGACCCTTCGCGCCTCGTGCTGGATATCACAATCATAATGAGGATCCTGCGTTGTGTGCTCAGGTAACGGAGAACGTAGGTCTTCAATAGATTCAGCCTGTGAATGCTGAGCAGAGATGCTGAGAATGCCGGCGCTCGCGGCCGGAGAGGACAGCATTGGAAGGGACGTTTTGAATGCCTTCCCCCACGAGATCAGCGCAGTGTCATAGAACGAGTCCACAATGGGTCCTTCAACATGGACCAGCATCTCGAGGTTGTCGTTGTCCTGAACATTGCTGCTCTGAAGCAAAGCAACCCTTCGATCAATGACCATGAATTTGGCGTGAAACGTTCCAAAGATAGGGCGGTGGTAGTTGGTGACTTGAAGGTCAATGTTGGGGATTTCTCCTGCAGGAGGCAGTCGGACCTTGCCATTTGGATCTGCATACTGCTTCTCACCGACGCTCAGGTGATTATCCCAGAGCTGTTGAGGACTTCCCCGGTCGTATAACACTTTCACAACCACTTTGCTCCCGCGCTCGCCCGCTCGTCTTGACAGTTCCCGAAACGCGTTGGTTACGAGGGTCGATGCATCGGAGTAGATCCAGAAATTGGTCCCCAAGAATACCTCCTTTTCGGCTCGGGCGATACAGTTTGCCACATGCCGACACAGATCCGGCAACGGGGCCACGATGGTCAAGGGAACGACCCCGTGACTGCCCATCAGTGGTGGAGAGACCACTCCCCCCAGAGGATTTTTGTCCAACGTACAGAGAGCGTCGTGGTATATCTTTGATGAGTGCAGGTCAGAAATAATCTACCATGATCACTGGAGGGGATATTCAATCTAACCTTAAGAAATAGATTACTCGGTTTTGCTGTTCCCCAGTTCCCACATTCATACGCTCTCTGCAGAACATCTTGATGGTCAGTGGTCGACTGCTTGGTCTCAACGAGCTTCTCCTTCAGCTTGTGCTCATGATACAGCTTATGAAACAACTTTGCCGGTGATTGACTTGGATCTCTCGCAAGCTCTGAGCTTACTGTCTTGTCGTGGTGGCATAGTCGGTACACCTTATCTGAGATCATGTCGCAGTAGGTATGGTTATTGCTCGTTGGTTGGCGCACTATCCAAATGACCAAGGAGCTCAGACAGATTGAAAAAACTGCTCCAGACAGCTTCAGAACCGCTGCGAGGGTAGAGTCATAAGGCTGGTCAGATAACTGGTGCGTCTGAGACATGTCCTTTGAATGACGTATATCTAGAAGGCTTCTGCTCTAGAACTCACCATAGCGAGCCATACTGCCAACTAAGAACAGGCAGCATGATTTATCCCAACCCCGACGCCGCTCAAATTAATATGATCTGCCCCATCACCATCGTCAACGTTCAGCGTATGACGAAAGCGTGGACTTTAAGCGGGCTCTCGGACGAGGCCGACGTCATAGGCGCAGGCATCCCGGCAGCATTTCCAGGCATACTACAGTGGTATACTTCCCTATAAACCCAAAAAATATTCTAATTTCACATACTTATATTTAGTTTCATTTTAACCTGCTATTTTGGGAGTCTCCAGTCAGAGCAACTCGATAAACTGGTCTCTATAGGTGGGAATACATTTCAATCGACCTATCATCGATCCCTCATTCGGACATCGCAGGGACTGTACGATAATCCAGTTTCAATACCTTCTCCAGTGGTCCACCCACTAAAGCAGTCAAGAAGCTTAGCAGCCACTAAACAGCTTAACTACTCATGGCGTGGCTTATTCCTATAGTCACAGCGTCGATCAACCCAGGCGGATTACTATGTCATAGCCAGCCCCAGGTCACCATGTGGACTTGCCCACATGAGAGATACACCCACCGGTGATAAGTCATGCAACAAGTCGACGGCAATATTGGAATACTCAGACACTGGACTCTGCGTTGCACTTGTTAGAAGTCTAGTTGGCCACGGCAGTGGTTGGTCCATGTCGCTTCACAACGTCACAAATCAAACTAGACCTTGAATAAAGGCTGGCTGAGCAAAGGCTGAGAATTGCTATATGGAAGGCAAATTCATCGTCGATGTGAACAGCAGTATCGCTGTCAAGTATTTCCTTGCAGGCACGTGCATCTGGCATGGTGGGTTTCGGATCTGTGGTGTTATCAGCACTTGAACCTCATTTAGCTCACTCCCCCATGTCAGTTAGAGCTGTCCAAGGGAGGCTTCCGCATCATCTGTTACTTTCTTGGTATGCCGGCAACTTGGCGGGTTAACTAGGCTTGTCTTGATTCCAGACGACAATTTCACAATTGAATTAACCTGCAGATGAGTGTATGAAACCACCGTCACCGAGTCTGAAGCTCAAACATCAACACCAGAACCGCAAGATACATGAGTTTGCTTCGACAATTCTAATTTAGTATTGACTTGTAAACGTACAAATAAGGAAACCAATGCCGCATGCCAGTATTCAATATCAAACGGACTTTACCCCGCAGCGGAGATACTGCGATGGCTTTAAGCTGGTCCTCGGGCATCCTCCCTCTGTCGCTCCACAGCTGGGGTGCCGTTTACCATTGGAACTGCCGAAACAGTGAGCCTAATGCCTGAGCTGTGCGATGCTCATTATTAATCGTTCGGACTTCTCTCCATCGCGGCGAGGGTTCCGCTGAGTTGCAGGTATTTATAGGAAATCTGGGAGTGTGTGTCTCCACTCGTTGTATATGATCTGGAATCCTTGCTTACCACCAAGTGAAGTTGCTCACCTCGCTTGAATTTTTCTACGGTAGATCCAACGATGTATGTGCTCGTTCTAAATAATCTACACCATCAAGAGCTGACACTGCTGTGACCAGGGTTTATACCGCATCTTTCGCCTTCTTCGAGGCACTTTGGGAGGTAGGAAGCTTTAGCCATCAGCTAGTCTCAGTGACTGACTGACTCTAAAGGCTGGGGTAACACATGCGTTCGTCAACTTGGGTTCCGATCATCCATCGATCCTGGAGGCCATGGTCAAGGGCCAGAAGGAGAAGCCAGACCAATTCCCCAGGATCATCACCTGCCCCAATGAGGTATTTCTAGATTCGCCTCTCATACCTGTCTCATTTGGAGACGGTGTTGACTCCGGTCTGCTGACATCGCCTCACTCACTATAGATGGTCGCTCTCTCAATGGCAGATGGCTACGCTCGACTTACCGGGAAGCCTCAGTGCGTGATTGTTCACGTAGATGTCGGAACACAAGGCCTAGGCGCTGCTGTACACAACGCATCCTGCGGTCGTGCTCCGGTTCTGATCTTCGCCGGCCTCTCCCCCTTCACGATCGAAGGGGAGATGCGCGGCTCCCGCACCGAATACATACACTGGATTCAAGACGTTCCCGACCAGAAACAGATTGTGTCTCAGTACTGTCGTTATTCGGCCGAAATCAAGTCTGGCAAGAACATAAAACAGATGGTTAACCGGGCACTTCAGTTTGCAACAAGTGATCCGAAAGGACCCGTCTACCTGACCGGTGCTCGAGAGGTTATGGAAGAGGAGATAGAGCCCTACACGCTAGCTCAGGGCGTCTGGGGACCGGTTGCACCATCAGCTTTGACACCAGAGGCCGTCGAGCGGATCGCCTCTCATCTGGCCGCTGCCAAAGAGCCTCTAGCGATCGTAGGCTACTCAGGTCGCTCTGCTCGGGGGGTGAAAGAGCTAGTCACACTGGCCAATACGTTCAAGGGACTCCGGGTTTTGGACACGGGCGGATGCGACATGTGCTTTCCGGGCGACCATCCTGCGTCGTTAGGACTCCGTTATGGTGTCCATGACGCTATCAAGACCGCCGACTTCATCCTCGTTGCCGATTGCGATGTACCATGGATCCCAACACAATGCAAGCCATCGGATTCAGCCAAGATCATCCACATTGACGTCGATCCGCTCAAGCAGCAAATCCCTGTCTTCTACATTCCCTCTCTAGCAACTTTTCGGGCGGAGTCTGCGACTGCATTCAAGCAGATCAACGACTTCGTCGCGTCTAGCAAGGCTCTGCAGGAGGTGGTCAATTCTGAAGAACAAGTAGCATTCCGGAGGCACCGGGAAGAAGAATATAAGAAGACGCGTCAAGCTGTTGCCGACCTTGCCGCAGTACCTTCGGGAGGCGACGACGCTTCATTGAATGCATCTTACCTCATGGCTCAGGTCCGAAAATCTTGCCCAGAAGACACCATCTGGGCCATCGAAGCAGTAACCCTTACTGCGATTGTAGCCGACCAGATCAATGCTACCCTGCCCAACTCCTGGATCAACTGCGGCGGCGGTGGCCTGGGATGGTCCGGTGGCGGTGCCTTGGGAATCAAGCTGGCTACCGATGACCAACATGGGGGTAAAAATAAGGGTAGATTCGTGTGCCAGGTGGTGGGTGACGGGACGTTCCTCTTCTCAGTACCAGGCTCCGTTTACTGGATTGCCCGGCGCTACAATATCCCAGTGCTCACGATTGTGCTGAACAACAGGGGCTGGAATGCACCCCGCAGAAGCATGCTTCTGGTTCACCCCAATGGAGATGGCTCGCGTGCAACGAACGAAGATCTCAATATCTCTTTCGCTCCTACCCCAGACTATTCAGGCATCGCGAAGGCTGCAGCTGGAGGTGAGCTTTGGGCTGGTCGGGCGGCTACAGTAGCCGAGCTAGGCAAGCTCCTACCAGAGGCTATCCAGAGTGTGCTCAACGGAACCGCAGCTGTCCTGGAAGCCCAGCTAGACGGGACCACTGGAAAGTATGTGGAGAAGAAATAGAGGAGAGACACATAGAATCAACAGCGCTTTCTCTAGTTGGATAGGCATTCGCCTAGTCAATGACTCTATCCACCAATTGTATCTCTTGACATCTCTATAGAGCAGTTTTTAGCCTAGCGGCCTAGGACTTAATTCATGTTGATGATAATTGTCCCAGGGCAGCGTCGCGCGTCGCCATTCTCACCGAGAGTTTGTGCTTGACGCTGAAGTGTTTATCGGCTGTCCGGCACTTATCAATCAACTGGCTCCGATCCCGGCGATAGCCTTATCTATGCGTGCGGGGCACATTATTACAGTTGAAGCTCTGTATGAGTCAATAATACCTTAAGGTAGGTAGAGAGATGTATTCCACAGAACAAACAGAGAGTTCAGTCAGGGTTCCTATGTAATTGTTACTAGGATTATAGACCTAGGAACAAGTTCAATTGTAATTGTTATGTTCCTAAGCCTTGTTAAGTGTCCTCAACGACGAGCACCCCTGGTGATGCAGTTATGAAGGCGTATTGAGATGTACAATACCGTACAACTAACCCAATTAGGCAGTCTGCTAGTATTCCCCTCCCGCGCCCTGTAGATGATCAGTGGCCAGGCCCTTGCTTAATCGCGACCCAGAAGGGCGGATACAACAGGTCAATTAGATAAGAGAAACCCAGCAGGGATATCTTCCATCCATTGAGAGTCCAGCGCGCTCTCTGGGGCTTCCCAGTTTCGAACAATGACAGTTGTGCGTGACCTCCCTAATAGGTTGAGATATGCAGATTCGTCAAGACGTCAATCCCCATCGGGCGGAACGGACCCGCCATTCTCGGATTTGTCGTCGGCGGAGACAAAAATGGCGTTGGTATCGTGACTCAAATTGCCGGACATTCCTCCTGCAGGACCTGCACTGATCTACGGGGTATTTGCTATTGTTCTGTTAGTATCGAGTCTGATTGTCACTGTGTCTACAGGCCTGGATACTTATTGTGAATATCGCGGACAGATCTGACTTGGACAATTTTAATTGTTATCCGCCACCAGAACAGAATTCCCCGAGACGAGAAAATGAGTCCTTCGATCGACCTTAAGGGCGCGGATACGTCTGCCAGCCCGTTGACAGTCGATGGCATTGCGCAGTTGAGAGCGAAGAGTGCGCCAGTCCCTACAGGGATTGCGCCTTCTACGAGCAGTAATATGTTCAAGAGCCCTGTGAGTACATACGGTTGGAGGGGTTGCGAATGGCGCTGATTTCATTTGTTTTCTCCAGTCATGCTATACCAAGCCGAAAGCGAAGCGGTGGGATCGTAAGTCTTTTCGGTTTCCCGGGATGTTGCCAGACGCATACACCTGTCTTGGCCGCCGTGGAGAATCTCGCTGATCGATCTGAAGACTACCTCTCTGAAGAATCAAAATCCCGACAGGTTAGCTCGCTGGATCATAAACTGGTTGAATGGAAACGGGGCTAAACTTTGCCTTAGCAATCTACATTGAAGGGTGCTGCGCGTTACCTTAAGACTCCAGGTATCTCAACCTGTTATTTCTTTTCATGCTCGCGATATTGGTCCAAGCGAAATGCTGATGCTGACTACTGTAGGTCTCATCTCGTTGGGAGGTGGTCTGCCGTCGCCAGAATACTTTCCTTTCGAAGAGATTAGCATCAAAGTCCCAACGCCGCCGGGTTTCTCCCCCCACGAGACCCAGGAATCCGGCGCTGTCCTGACCGCCAAGAAAGGGGATGTTCAGGCTGGCAGAAGTCTTTACGGTACGTAAGAAAACTTCCAGGAACATATCCATTGCTGAGTTTTCCGCAGACCTGGAGGTTGCTCTTAATTATGGACAATCGACCGGTTCCCCTCAGCTCCTCAGATTCGTGACGGAGCATACCGAGGTATGAGCTCCTGAAGAACTAAAGTATCTGCGGCGATTAACAAAATCAGCTTATTCACAACCCCCCATACGCCGACTGGCAATGTTGCTTGAACGCTGGTAGCACATATGGGTGGGATACAGTACTCCGAATGCTCTGCACCAGGGGCGACTACATCCTGATGGAGGAGTATACATTCTCTAGCGCCAAGGAGGGCGCTCTTCCATTGGGAGTCAAGGTGGCATCGGTCAAGATGGATGCAGAAGGTCTTCTGCCCGAGTCGCTCGACGAGGTCTTGAGCAACTGGGATGAAGCTTCTCGGGGCAGCCGCAAGCCATTTGTGCTGTACACGATTCCAACTGGACAGAACCCTACCGGTGCCACGCAGCAGCTGGAGAGACGAAAGGCTGTATACAAGGTGGCACAGAAGCACGACTTGATTATCGTGGAAGACGAGCCTTACTACTTCTTGCAGATGCAGCCATACACCGGACCCGACCGCGAGCCTGTCCCACCTCCTGCCAGCCACGATGAATTCATCAAGTCTCTCATTCCATCGTACCTGAGCCTAGATGTCGATGGGCGTGTGCTCCGACTTGAATCCTTCTCCAAGGTTCTTTCTCCTGGCTCGCGGACCGGTTGGATCGTTGGCCCAGAGCAGCTTGTCGAACGATTCATGCGCAACTGTGAAACATCTGCTCAGCATCCAAGCGGCATCTCACAGATTGTTCTGTTTAAACTTCTCGACGAACACTGGGGCCACTCTGGCTACCTGGACTGGTTGATCAACCTGCGTATGCAGTACACCGGTCGCAGAGACGCCATTGTCAATGCTTGCGAGAAATATCTTCCTAGGGAGATTGCTAAGTGGAACCCTCCCGCCGCAGGAATGTTTGTGAGTATTCCTTCACCTGCGATTTGACAATTATGGTTCAAAGGCAAATTCACTGACACTGATAAACTCTTAGCATTGGATTGAGATCGATTGGCAGAAGCATCCTGCCGTGCCTTCGGGTAAGACCCGCGAGGCTATCGAGGAAGCTGTCTTCCATGCTGCGGTGGATAACGGCGTGCTCGTCTCGCGAGGCAGTTGGTTCACCGCAGCTGGTCGCAACGAGGGCAACTTGTTCTTCCGCGCTACCTTTGCGGCTGCCAGCTCGGAAAACATTGCAGAGGCTATTGCTCGGTTTGCAACTGCCCTCAGAACGGAGTTTTCTTTGTAGATCGATTGGACTGTGATGATCCTACGTAACCTACGGGAATAGAACGTGAAGCGTGATATATATATTTATCATAGATCTACTCATTGGCTTGAGAAAACCCCATACATTCTGAATACGATGCCCTCGATTCCTGCGATCTGAATAGGATAGCGTAAACTGAACAGAAGTCATGTCTCATGCTAAGTCCCCTTTAGTATTATGCAATCAGTGAAATAATCCCATTCGCGATCGAGAAACTAAGATCAGCATGATTGAATCCTCATCGATGCATAGATTTCTGGCTGAAGGGTCGAAGTTGTTCAAGCTAAGAAGGTAGCCCACCTTAGAAGCGCAAATTGGAGTCTCCGTTTTGGGGCTAAATTAGCGTCCGCCGTTTAGCGTGGTTTCACTCTCATCACCCACATTCTCCCTCACAAGAAGAAAGAAAGATCACCATCAAACTTCTTGTATAGCTCTCTTCAACACTTCTACGAGGTTTTGGGAAAGAAAGAACTGGGATTAACTTGGGTAAATATTACTAGATTCTGTTTGCTGATACATAAGATTCCGTGGACATGTTGAGTGGAGGCTGGGGTGTCCTTTAACGACTTTCCTTGATGGCGAAACAGGCACTGGCGAGGTGAACAACACAACACTTTGCAGTTGACAACAGCCACTGTCTCGCGTGTCGTGTCTGGCATGAGAGATCTCAGACCTGTCTGTGATTGAGCATCAATATTCGCTGTTTATGCCTTCGCCAGAGGCAGTGAGAGCTCTCACAGGCTAGCTTATCGACCGACGCCTCGAGGGCCTTTTGTGTCAGCTCTGTCCGGTCAAATAAAACCTTTCTATTGCAACTGTGGGCCTTATTGTGTACTTCAATATGGACAGCACTCGCGTCTCAGGGTTTCTGGACCCGACGTCCGCGATGGCGGCCGCCATCAGCAAGCACAAAGCAGAAGCCATCAAGCTGGCACGTGAACAAGGCGCCGCCGTGCGCGAGATGTGTCGCAGAGCAAAAACAGAGCCGCCGCCGTATGAGTTTGAAGAACTGATAGGGAAGGGTTCCTATGGCCGTGTCTACAAGGGCCACCAGCTACCTTCGCGCAAAGTCGTCGCGATCAAGGTGATGGATATTGATTCGATGGACTACAAGTCTGTTAGGGACCTCAAGGACGAATCAATTAAGGATTTCATACATGAGACGAAAGTTATGAAACAGGTCAAGGATGCTGGTGCGAAAAATATCAACGAGTTGATTGAGGCCATCTCGATCCATAGCCAGTTGTGGCTGGTCTGCGAGTACTGCCCTGGTGGTAGCGTTAGGACTTTGGTAGGCCCTGCGTTGTTACTCTTTCCCTCCGCTTGTCATATTCTGACTTCGCAATGTTTAGATGAGAGCAACTGGTGATAAGCTCGATGAAAGATTCATCATCCCCATCGCACGCGAGTTGGCTGCTGGCTTGCGTGCAATCCACGAGGCTGGTATCATCCATCGGGACATTAAAGGTATGTAGGCCTCTGCTGTCTGATTTTAACTCACCCGCTGAAGCTTTTGGTAGCTGCGAACATCTTGATCCACGAGGAAGGACGGCTCCAGATCTGCGATTTCGGTGTTGCGGGAGTACTCCAGTCGCACGTGGACAAGCGATCAACCTGGATCGGGACGCCTCACTGGATGCCCCCGGAAATGTTCTCAACTCGAGGCGAAGCTCATAAATATGGAAGTGAGGTGAGGCTGTCAATTTCTGCTCAATCCCTTGAAAATACTGACAAGCCAAGGTCGACGTGTGGGCATATGGTTGCACTCTCTTCGAATTCGCAACGGGGAATCCTCCGAACTCCAATTTACGGGAACGGATGCAAATTGGAAGGCAACTCAACCGTACCACACCGCGTCTTGCAAATGAAGAATACAGTGACTGCCTTAAAGACCTAGTATCATTCGCCCTCGAGTCGGATCCCATATCGCGCCCTACAATGGCAGACATCATGTCACATTCGTATATTGCTGGAACAGACGAGCAGTACCCGACTTCTTCACTCAGCGAGTTGGTGCGCATCTACTATCAATGGTCTCAGCGGGGAGGGCAGCGAATCTCGTTATTCCATCCGGGAGGTGCTGCCGCTGCGGAATTCCCCGACTATGAGCCAGACTTTGAAGAAGACTGGAACTTCAGTACGACAGATGGCTTTGAACGGAGATTTTCCGTCATTGATCTGGACCGGATAGCCGCCTCGTTAGCCGAGCTAGAAGAGCAGATGAGTCCAACGACGACAGCTCAGCAGGATCGCGATCCCTTCGATGAGCCAGCCGGATCCGAAATGTCCGTGGAAGACAAGGCCAACTTCGACGAGCGTGTCCGCCGAGGCGCTGCGGCAATGGAAGGGCTATTCAACGAAGACATGCCGAGTTACAAGTACGAAACGAAGAACGATTTTGTGCCCATTGAGCCCAAGCCTCCAGCGTCTGATCTGCCTCTTCGCACGGAGACAGATCGGTCTTCCGTGACGTCTACATTCATTGACATTGACATCGGCTCATTCGACTCGTCGCATTATGCGGCTGGAGCTGCATCGGCTCAGCCGTTCCAACTCGCAGACGCGGATACAATCAGAGCCAATAGATCCACCGGTCGCCAGCAACCCAATCCTGTTGAAGGCAGGCCACGGTCATCGAGTCGTGATGCGGATGATAATGACGAATCCCAGCAACTAACTTATCAGCCCCAGACTGGCCCACGCCCTCCGACGATGGACTGGAAATTTCCGGTATTTATGCAACCGTTGGAAGCAGAGCAAGCCGAACCGGAGAGGGCACAGTCACCAAAGGTGTCGGAGTCGCAACAGGAGGATAAACGAGCAACCATGGACTGGACCTTCCCAGACGAGGCCCAACAGAAAGACAAACGAGCAACTATGGACTGGACCTTCCCGGACATGACTACCGCTAAGCCTCTGGATGGCGAAGATCCCGGCCGCCACGATACCCTTCGAGCGCCGCTTCCCGAGCTTCAGCCATCAGCTACCATTCGACAGTCCACCATCGGAGAGCCTGGGGATTCGCGACCCTCCACCTCAGCATCGACTGGCTCCGATATCTCAGCTCACTCAGATACAGACTATAATCCCTTCAAGTTTGACCGTCCTCCTACGCCTCCCGGTGAGCTTGCTGAAGCACATGGGCATTTTTTCAACAAGGAGCTACCGGAAACGCTAGAATCGGTGGGCTACGGCGACTTTGAACGGTCGTCAGTGTTAGACGGGCCGGGGCCAGATGAGGAAGACTCGCAGTCAGTGATCTGGGAGAACAGCACAGAAATCGGTGTTCAACCCTCGCATACAGAACCATTTCCCACCGCCATTCCATCCAAAGAGCTGGAGTCCCACCAACCTTTTCCAACGCTGAGTGAGTCGCCTATGATTGAGCCTTTACCCACTGCCCGGCGAGATCCGCGCCCGGCTACAAGGGATGTTATGGAGCCGGTCTACTTTCCCGATCTCGTACCGCCGCAACTTGAGGCTCTGACGGCCGGGGCGGAAGAAAGCACTGTGACTGCCGAACTGGACAGACTTTTGGGCGATTTTCTTGATGCCCTCTCTGCAACTGGAGATGCATTGTCCCGAGTCGCCGTCGTTCCAGAGACAGCAAGACGTCGACCGTCAATATCTGAACAGGCTGAATAAACTTTTGTTTCTTTTTAGGTGTTGATCTAAGATCTTGCGACAGGCGCTTGGATGGATACTTGGAAGAACAGACAGGTTGTCTATTGAACACAACGTCTGTCAAGTCCGTATTGATCAATGAAGCTCATGATGGATACTGTACATAACCCCAAATAAAGAACAATTGTCAATATAGCGTCTCTCAACTTCAAATCAACAGCTCGACGACGAGACTTGGAACTCCCCCTGTAGACCCAAGTGATCCGTGACCCAGACCTCTTCATCCGAGTAATCTTCGTCCTCGCTGTCAGAGTGATCTCCCTGAAAAGTAACCGTCACGCTGACCCCTTCTCCAATCCGTTTCAGACTCTTCGCCTCAACCCCACCACAATACAGGATCTTATCCATACGACTACACCCAAACTGCTCCTTCATCCAATCCGGCACCTGCTGACCCCACGTGAAACTCTCCTCCGTCCCCTCCCTCCCGCCTAGAACTAAGAACGCATCTCTGAGACCACACTCCTCCGGCGCGGAGCGATCCTCCGACGCAAAGGCGTTAAGGTCGCCTGCTAGAATAGCTGCATGGGGAGTCGGCGGCGCATACATGCCCTCATCCTCATCCTCATCCTCAGGCCCAGGCGCAGGGCCAGACCCATGCATGAAGCTCGAGGCGAGACGTAGCTGCACCGGACGTCTGGGCGGATGCGAAGCAAGACTCTCGAGATGTGTATTGCACAGTCGTAGGATGCATTCTTTTGTGTCCTTAGCTTCAACCACTACCGAAAACGATGGATACGCAACTTACCACGCTCGGCCCCTGGGGGCCCCACATCAACATCAACAAATAACCCATCCCTCTCCATTCTTGAATTCGAATACGGCACCCGGAATACACCCCGCACCACCAACCGTTTATCGATCATCGTCGTTGTCCCGTAGGACCCGCGCCAATGATCGGTGCTGGTATCGGTGATGAAGAACTTTTCCTGTATCCAGCCCGATTCTTGGATCAGCTGGAGATCTGACTCGACCATCTCCTGGAGGAAGATGACTGATGGGGTCTCGTTGTCGTGCTGGATGCTGTGCTGGCGGGACAGGTACTTCAGTGCTGCGGCCATGCGTTCGCGGCTGAGCGGGGTCTGGAAGTCGATGTTCCAGGTTGTTAGTCGGATTCTGGTTACATTTTTGTTGTGGGTTTGATGAAGACCAGAAGTGCTGGGGTTTTTGGTGATGTCTGTTGAGCTCCGGATTGGCGTCCAGGTGTTGTTGAAGAAGTGGTAGAAGGGCTGTGGGTTGGCGCGGTCGAGCCTCATGGTGAATTTTGCTGTGGATAGTTTCTTCGAGAGTCCAGGGATTAGTTTGGAGGTCATTTAGAAGACTACTCAGTATGTTGGGTTCTGCTTTTATTAAGGCTTGGATGGATAGATGGGATGGATGATGGCTGCCTGGAGAGTCGTCATGTTGGTGCTATGGTTACTCAACGGTCATAACTAATTCATGTACTATACGTACATTTGAGGATTAGAATCTCTCATCAACATTATGGGTTTACTATTGCTCAAGGGTTCTGATCTCTTGATGTCATTTGGCTTCATGTTTAATAATGGAGCATTTACTAAGTGAGTGTGGTGTATCTTTCAGCATTATCATTTTAGACTTCCTGGTATATCACAACCAGGCTGAAGTGCTACCGGTGAATGCAGCGCTCAGAACTGCACTCATCCTCAGCGCATCTAGTCATTGTTGACGACGCCTCGACGCGTCTCGTCTCGAGTCTACACACGCTCGTTTCTCTCCTTCAGGTCATCCATCTTTTACTATCCACCAGTTGGGTTTGTCCCCCATTGCCCGGAGAGATGCATGTCCTGTGTTCGGTCAGCCATTGTCCAGGTCTTTCGTTCTAGCACTCGTTGGAAATGGCTCTCTCAATCGCGAAAAAGTTCATTCGTTTTGAAGCTTCTCCATCGCCCCAGTCCCCAGAGCAATGGAAGAAAACAATTCAAGATGTCAAGCTGCTGTATTTCCAGCGTCAGTACAAGCAATGCGCCGCCCGTTCTTTTGAGATCCTGGAGGCTGTAAAAGAGCCAGTGAGTAGAACCCGTTGCTATCAAAATAGGTATGCATTAACATGCTCTTGATCGGCAGATCCATCCGGTCTACAAGACATACCTTTATTTCTACAGCGCCATTTCCTATGAGGAAATGGGCCGAGCAGCCCATAACTACTCCCGGAGAAAGATTCCTCTGCTGAATTCCGCCCTGGACAGCTTCGTCACCTGCAGTGCAATTCTGCCCTCGACAATTCCAGTTCCTGAAATCAACTCGGAGAGCTCGAGTCCTGCTTCGTTGGTGGAGTCATGGACCGCATCAGATTTTTCGGAGAGTCCTTCGCCTGTCGGGGGCCTCGTGAGCAGCATTACGGACATCATCGACAAGTCCATGCACTGCCCGGACGATGATCCTTTCATCTCAGATAGTGAGGGCTGGGTTGATCTGGCTCTCGACATTCCAGAGGCCCTTCCACCCCGCATTCCACAGGACGATCAGCGACTCATGCCTTCGCCCCTTCGACTTCGAAAGTCGTCGGTTGATCTCCGTCCGGCTGGTCGACAGAATCAACCCGCGAGACTTTGTCGTCCCCCTCCTCTTCCTATCAAGATTCTGCCTGCGGATGCCATGGAAAAGAACCACGAACCTTCAGGACCTAGCAGAACTCCCCGCGCGCACGATAGAGGAGAAGTCCACGCGGATGAGCACAAACAAACGCCCGTGACACCGTCACGCGCCGAGTCCATTAGACGATATAACAGCACCCTCCAGTCCTTGCGAGTTCAGATCAACTCCAGCATCGCCGACATTCACACACTCATGGACGAGGTCAAGGAGTTGCAGTCTGCCCGTCGAGCGTCGAAGAGTTTCCGCCGGTCTGCTTCATTCTGGAGTTTCAGTCCCGTCAAGGAGGGTCCTGATGGTCAAGAGAAACTGGGTAGTTCGGGGAGAGTCATTGTCAAGGAGACCAAGGAGCAGCGGATTGCTCGACTGCGTGCCGAGGGATGGAAGACGGTCGGGTTGAGGTCTCCAGTCCGTGGCTGGAAGGGAGCGGCGTACTACCAAGCGTACTGCAATTCTGTTTTGGACGAATTGTATCTTGAGGTGTAAATAATAAGGGTCTGACAGCTGTCTTGTCATTAGGGGGTTCTTGTGGCAGAGTACGGAGTATACCATTGATTGCGGGTTCTGAAGCGCATATCCGCTCATGATACCATGTCTAGTACGATGATTTGTGAGCTATCTAGAAACGAAAACCAAAAATAACGTGATGTTGCATGAGCGATCACAGATGAAGAATTGACTCCATCAACCGTCTATTTAGCGATCGTCTCAGCTTGCGACCCCGTCCCACTATTTTTGGGTGGTGCCTTGAAAGTGGATCCGGCTTCAAGTACAAAAAAAAGTCGCACAAGGTCGCTGGCGCGTTTCATGCTGATGAAAGGCTGAGGGTCCTAGTGTTCTCTGCAATGCAGAAAATGATCAAGATGTGATTGATCGAAATTCAACAAATGGTTGACACCACCTGAGATCTGACCTGCTAGGGAGATAGGACAAGAGCACGATGCATTGTACCAGAGTGAAATCGAACTCAGTGAAGAGACCGACAAGGCTGAGATCAGGCAGGCATCGTAGCCCCTGGAGTAGCTGATAACGAATTTACGAAGATAGTCCAGAACTTCAGTGAAATGATAGGGGAAAAGAACCCTCAGCCACTGAGATTTCGGGACTCGATAATCTACTCCGTATCCATCATACACTCGGGGATATTTGGATCAGCCCCGCCGCTGCCCAAGGCTCGACCAGCTGGAGGTAAAGACTCCGTGGCTGTGCTGGTGAGACTCGCGGCGATTCAGAGAGACGGTCTGGAGTCTGGACAGTGCGATAAAATTAAATAAAGTATGGATAGTCCAAGGTCCAGACATCATTATTTCTTCAATTCATCCTTCTCTTGAAGAGACATTGTACACTCCAGCATCTTTCCTCCCGTGCGTCTGCATCAATTCCACCGATCGGCGTGGTCTTTAGAGGCTCAGTATGTTTATTTTCCCATCCCCTATTGACTTCATGTACGCCGACCAGTCTTGAGAAGCGCCGCTCCGTCCTGGCTGGTTGAGATCATGTACTGACCTGCCATTCGATCTAGAATCATAAGAGAGGGAACAGAAACAGACATCGTCTTCGTCCTCGACATTCCCAAATTCTCCCAAAACCGATTCCTTCGCCCCGCCCTCCTTGTCCCCTCACGTGCGGGGTCTCCCATCAGCTTCGTTCTGTCCGCTGGCCTCAGCCCTCTACCACACGTTCTATTTCCGAGATTGGGTCCCTGTCAGACAGACCCTGCTTCGTCACAATGAGTTGTGAGTCTCGCCTGTCTTCGTTTTCGCTTCGTCAATGCCCCTTGTGATGTGGCTTGCTTCTCTCTACTACATGTCCTACCATTGATGCTTTTCACGTGCGCTCAAATGCTGGAGCCTGCTGGTCTGGACTTGTTTCGTGCGATCATGTCCCTGCTAGCATTACCGTTAGACCTCTCGAGTAGTAATGCAAGTCTTTTTGGGCTACTCGTTCTCCTATTGTTCTTTGGTTCGCCCATTCCCGTGGGATTTTGAGTTTCTCACTGCTTTTTCCTTTTGCTCTTTTGTCCTACGCTGTTTTCTATGGGGCTGCTGTCCCTTATACGGAAAGATGCTAACCATGGCATGGTTGTCTTAGTCTCTACTATGTTTAACAAGCTGTCCGGGCAGCCCGAGAGTTACGAAAAGAAGTACGGTGTTCCAAGCCCTCTCGCCTCCTTTTCATCCTCCCAATCCCACTGCGGATATTGTGCTCACCTCTTCTAGAGCACTGTACAGGTTTGGAAGGACACTAGGTGCAGGCACTTATGGTATCGTCCGTGAAGCAGAGAGCAGTGGCGGCAAGGTTGCAATCAAAATCATCCTGAAGAAAAATGTCCGCGGCAATGAGCGCATGGTCTACGACGAGCTGGAGATGTTGCAGGCGCTCGATCACCCCAACATTGTTCACTTTGTAGATTGGTTCGAATCCAAGGTGGGTGCACGAGCTTAGCTTACTCTTCGCCGATCGCAGTCTGACGGTGAATCAGGACAAATTTTACATTGTCACTCAGCTGGCCACTGGTGGTGAGCTGTTTGATCGGATTTGCGACTGCGGCAAATTCACAGAGAAGGATGCTTCCCAGACAATCCGGCAGGTGCTGGGTGCTGTGAACTACCTTCACGAGCGGAATATCGTCCACCGAGGTCAGTTTTTCAGCGGCTTTTCCCTGCTGCCGAACAGTGCACTAATGCTGGCTCATGTCTAGATCTGAAACCCGAGAACCTCCTCTATCTCACTCGCGACCCCAAATCCCCCCTGGTGTTGGCCGATTTTGGTATCGCGAAAATGCTGGAGAACCCTACCGAAGTCCTCACGACCATGGCGGGTTCATTTGGTTATGCGGCGCCCGAGGTCATGCTCAAGCAAGGCCACGGAAAGGCCGTCGACCTATGGTCCCTCGGTGTTATCACCTACACCCTGCTGTGCGGATATTCGCCCTTCCGATCGGAAAACCTGTCCGACCTGATCGAAGAATGCCGCTCTGCCCGGATCGTCTTCCACGAACGCTACTGGCGCGATGTCTCCAAGGATGCCAAGGACTTCATTCTCAGCCTGCTCCAGCCTGACCCCGCCAAGCGGCCCACGTCGCAGGATGCCTTGAAACACCCGTGGCTGACTGGTGAGTCTGCCAGCGACCGCGACTTGCTACCTGAGATCCGTGCCTACATCGCCCGCTCCCGCCTCCGGAGAGGAATCGAGATCATCAAGCTGGCGAACCGCATTGAAGCGCTCAAGATGCAGGAAGACGAAGAGGACGATATCCCCAGCCCTGCCGAGATGGCGGCATCTGCAGCAGAGCCCAGCAAATCCTGTGACACAACAGCGTTTCCTCCTCTCGGGGGGACGGAAGCAAATGCGAGCTCATCCCCTGCGCCTGTTGATGGTACAACTGGTGGGACCAAAAAGCGGAGTCTGAGCAAGATCGCACGCGGCGCGATCTTCCGCGAAGTGGTTCTGGCCAAGGTTCGCGAGATGAAGGAGAACGAAGAGCGTGAAAAACTCGAACGGGAAGCTCGAGAGCGAACTGCCCATGCTTGATTTTCCAACCGATAGTCGATCGGTTTGCTTTCGTATTTATTAGAGCCTGTTCATATCTTGTGTATCCGGATCATGTTCGAGTTGATCTTCGAATATGATTTTTATGATTCCCTGTGCGAATTCAAATGCTTTTCTTATAATCAGAGTTTGTTTGCTGGCATTTCGCCGTGTTGTCTTTTGTCTCCGTATTCGTCTTTCGACCTGATTTCAGAGTTGCGCCACGTGTTCTGCCCAATGATGATCCTAAATGTGGACCGACCGTTTACTTAACCGTTGTGTCATGGGGCCATTAATAAGTGAAGCGCCAACCGAATCATGTAGGTGCTATAATGTTGATAGAGACACTGATATCAAGTGATCACGTGCTGCAGTGTCAGATGCTCTCGGACCAATCAGATGACCGGCTGCAGGTGATCGGCCGCCCCACCCACCAGAGGTAGCTGCTGTTTGGAGGTTTCCCTTTATATACAACCAGCAAAGTTCACCGTCCTCTCTCTTGATCTGTCTCTTTTACTCTGAAGCCTTACAAACTGCTCTCACTTTATAGAGATCTCCACCTCTGTGCTTACTCCGCTGAGTGGTGCCGCACAATCTTGTCTACCTTACTGACATCAGAAGCCCCGCTTTGTCAGGACGTCATACACGGCTACCCTAACAAGCTCTATGCGCGTTCGATACTAGCACCTGTGAAAAGACCAGTACTTGACCCTACGTCAGACATTGCAGCCAAAGCTTGTGTATCTTGAAGACCTCTCAGCCTCCGCTCAAGGGGCTCATCTTCCAAGATGTTTGCCGGCAAGCGTTTGAGCAAAGTATGTAATTTCATCTCCCCGCTCAATAAAGAATCGTGCAAACTGACGCTGCATGTACATCTGCAGGAGCTCCTGAAGGTACCTGCACTTCCCTGCCGCCGTATTGCAACTTAGTCCCAGGATCACAAAAAAGGGCAGCATCACCACAACCACATGCTTCTAACGTTCAATCTCTATACAGATGAAGGAACATCTCCCGCCCGGCATCTCAATAGTCAAAGACGACAATCTCGAAGAATGGCAAATGGACATTAAAGTCCTTGATGACAACCCGCTCTACAAGGACCAGACCTACCGACTCAAATTCACCTTTGGGTCGAAATATCCCATAGGTGAGCTCGCTCTCTTGCCGCACAACCCCGCGCTTGCATCAACATGGCTAATGAATACCACAGAACCACCAGAAGTCCAATTTATCGAACTCCCCAGTACATCCGGTACCCCACGGCCCATCCCCATTCACCCCCACATTTATAGCAACGGCATCATCTGCCTCGACCTCCTCAGCTCCGCCGGCTGGTCGCCTGTGCAGACGGTTGAAAGCGTCTGCATGAGTATCCAAAGCATGCTGACGGCGAATAACCGCAACGAACGGCCTCCTGGTGATGCTGAATTCGTCTCATATAACAAGCGCCGCCCACGCGATATCGCTTTCATGTACGATGATGATAATGTGTAGTCCGTATTCTGGTCCGTGGCTGAGCTTCTTGGCGTGATTGCTTTGGACTTTCAGTGGGATCGCTCGGGCGGCATAGTCTTCGGACCTCAATCTGGCATTATTCAAGGGTTAGTAGACATTCTCAGGTGTCGGTTTGTTTCCTTATCCGTTCACATTTGCGTTGGCGTTGGCGTGGGCTTTGTTTTTCTTTGACTAGGGTGCTCCATAGTGGAAAGGATGGTTTGGACCTTGTGCTGCTGGAGTTCCATCTACCCCTCTTGGGTTCTTTTATCTACATATTGTTATACAACAGCCTACTACATCGCAGTGCTAATGCATGAGGCTTTCATTTGTCCGGCCGAGTCAATGTCGGTAATCAAAAAGAATTCAGCTATGAAATCTGGAGCAGTTTTCCTGAACAAGCAGAACGGCTGTCATGGTACATTCGCATTTCTAGCCAAGAGGGAGACCGCAGTAGCCGTAGTCCCACGATTCTATTCAGCACATGACATTGTATTGAAGATTCACGTCACTATAAACAGGGTTATGGTAGCAGAAAGAAAAGAAAATGGAAGAAAACAAACGCCATGGGAAGGAATTGGTACAGCTCGGCAGTCGAATCGCCACGTCTCCATTTACATTGGCACCCCATGCACTCAACCAATAGCATGCTCAATTTTCGGGTTGAATAAGTGCAGAATGACCTGAGAGAAAGGTGCTAAGAAGAACTCGCTCTGTTCTGATTATTCCCTTCCTCTACGTGATGCATTTGCACATATTCAGGTGTGTAATAATTCACATATCTCTACCGGTCGACTTCACCGAACACAAGATCCATTGTACCTGAAAGTTGGCATGTTAGCGGACTGAAGGAACTCGGGATCGATATTGCAAAAAGGTGGGACCCACCGATAATAGCGACAGCATCTGCCAGAAGGTGACCACGAGAGATCTGGTCGAATCCACCCAGATGGGCAAAGCCGGGAGCACGAATCTTGCAACGGTAGGGTCTCTCACTGCCGTCACTGACAAGGAAGACACCCATTTCACCCTTGGGGGCCTCAATGGCGGAGTAGGTCTCACCAGGGGGGACGGTATATCCCTTGGTGAAGAGAAGGAAGTGGTGGATCAGAGCCTCCATGTTCTCCTTCATGGCGGCACGGGGAGGGGGAGAGATCTTGTAGTCTTCGACACGAACAGGACCAGCGGGCATCTTGTTCAAGCACTGGTGAATGATGCGCAAGGACTGGCGGAACTCCTCCATACGGCAAAGGTAACGGTCGTAGCAGTCACCGTTGACACCGACGGGAACGTCGAACTCAACCTGATCGTAGGCATCGTAGGGCTGCGACTTGCGGATATCCCAGGGAACACCAGAACCACGGAGCATGACACCAGTGAAACTCATGTTGAGGGCGTCAGCTGCGCTGACAACACCAACACCCTGAGTTCTGGCCTTCCAGATACGGTTATCCGTAAGCAGCTCCTCGGTCTCGTCGATGCGGTCGCCGAACTGGGTGGCCCATTGGTAGATATCGTCGAGAAGGCCAAGGGGAAGGTCCTGCGATACACCACCAGGGCGGACATATGCAGCGTGCAGACGGGCACCGGAGACACGCTCGTAGAACTCCTATTGAAGGTGAAAGGTCAATGCAGTGCTCCCCCATCACACGTGATGAAGGGAAAAGATGCCGCTTACCATGAGCTTCTCACGCTCCTCGAAACCCCACAGGAAAGGTGTCAAAGCACCAACGTCCATGGCGTGGGAAAGAACCGACATCAGGTGGTTCAAAACACGCGTAAGCTCCCCGAACAAAGTCCGGATCCACTTGGCTCTCTCAGGAATTTCGATGTTAAGCAGCTTCTCAACAGCCAGCGAGAAGCACTGCTCATTCGTCATCATAGAGACATAGTCAAGTCGATCGAAGTAGGGCAGAGCCTGCATGTAGGTCTTGTACTCGATCAACTTCTCGGTACCACGGTGGAGCAGACCGACATGGGGATCTGAGCGGACAATTTCTTCGCCATTGAGTTCCAGAATCAATCGAAGCACACCGTGAGCGGCAGGATGCTGGGGTCCGAAGTTGACAGTATAGTGACGGATCTTGCGGTCGACCCCTTCCGCCTGCGACTCAAGATTCGAGGCAGCCTCGGACTCTGAGGTAGCCTTGTTGGCCAGATGTGTGAAAGTCGGATCCGTCGGAATCAGTCTGGTAGCCTGGTAGCTGGTAGGCTCCGCGTACCGACGGGGAAGGGTCGTCGATATCGAACGGGTGTTTCTGGCGAAGGTAGAGGGACGAAGACAGAGCTTCTTGGGCGCACTGCCCGCCAAACGGGTGAAAGAGGTAGCCATTCGGGATGTCGCAAGAAAGGATGAGGGATCAAACAGGCCGACTGTCCTCAGTCCGGACGTAGTGAAGGAGGGACTCTGACAGGACGGTCGATGCGAACTGACGCTTGGAGGTTGCGGGACAAATTGGGTAATCACGTGACAAGAGCTTCTGGTCATCACGCCGCCTCTGGTTGGTCTTCCGAAGATCTCTAAAGCGCACCCACACTAAGCCTCCATTGGTGAAGACAACACTGGTCACGGGTTTCTACTCCGGCCCAGCAGCAACTTCCGCCCGCAAGATTCTCTCTTCAATGGGTGCGGTTTAAATGGGAGGAAATGACCGCCTTAGGCCTGCAGAAAATACTGCCGCTTGTCCCAAAGAAATTATCATCCGCTCATTTCTCGATTTCACCTCTCAGCCTCCAGCAGTCCATCTACCGGTATTGTCGGCCATCATGGCGCCTCTTATTCCATCGCAGGAGGAGCTTGATCGCAGAAGGGTACATTATTTTCTAGCTTAGCATCTGTGAATAGCCTCGTCACTAACCAGCTCTTAGATCGTCGGTATAAATCCAGAGACGGTCACCAATATTCCCTCCACAGATTTTCCGGGTCACTGGCCCGGCGAGTCGCATGAATGGAATTTGGAAAAGTTTAGAGATGTGCGTTCACCTTAAACAGTTCTTATGCAGTAGCTTTCATCATGTGTCGCAATGGTCTGAAAGTTTCTTCAACTCACGCCTACTGTTCATAGGGCTTCCGAGTCGAGTTTCATCGCAATGACCCATTCGAATCCTCCTTCTCCTTGATTGGACTTGATGCCTCCATCGCAAATGCTTTCCGTCGAATTTTGATGGCTGAAGTACCAACCCTGGCCATCGAGTACGTTTTCGTCCACAACAACACTTCCGTTATACAGGACGAAGTTCTCGCTTCGCGATTGGGTCTGATCCCGTTGAAAGGCTCAGTGGAGGGTCTCAACTGGATGCGCTGGTTCAAGAAGCCCACCGAGGACGATCCCGAATCTGGCAGCACCCCCGCCGACTACAACACCATCGTGCTACGCTTGGATGTTGAGTGTACTGAGAACCCCAACGCTGCTCCCGGCGAGGACGACCCTCGCAAACTTTACAAGAACGCGCATGTTTATGCCAAGGATATCACCTTCCACCCGGTCGGACGTCAGGAGCAGTTCTTCACTGGCGACGGTGCAATTAAGCCCGTCAATCCTGATATTCTGATCGCAAAGCTACGTCCAGGCCAGAAGATCGATATGGAGTTGCACTGCATCAAAGGGATCGGAGCTGATCACGCCAAGTTCTCACCCGTGGCTACCGCAACATACCGCCTCATGCCAGACATCAAGATTCTTCGTCCTATCATCGGTGAAGATGCCAAAAAATTCGCCAAATGCTTCCCCAAGGGAGTTATTGAGCTCGAGCCCGTCACGTCGAGGGAAGCCGCGCAGAAAGGAAGCGAATATGAGGGCCGTGCGGGCGAGATGAAGGCCGTGGTTCGTGACCCCTTCAAGGATACCGTCAGCAGAGAGTGCCTGCGACACGAGGAATTCCAGGGCAAGGTGAGGCTGGGCCGCATTCGCGATCACTTCATCTTCAACGTTGAGAGCGCTGGTCAGTTTGAAAGTGATTATCTTTTCCTCGAAAGTGTCAAGGTGCTCAAGTTGAAATGTGCGAGATGGAAGCGAGGCTTGACGGATCTCATGCGGTAATGACATTCCTGCGGCCTATCCCAACAGTTTTCGAAGTATATAATGCATTAGCCGGCGTTGGTTTTTCCTTATCTCTGTGCTTGTTGTACATCTACCAAAAAGTTGGTCAAAACCTCCTTTACGACGTCAGGAGTCTGCATGGGGATCCTCTTCAGATAATAGAAAATGCAGCTATTCATTTCTTCAAGCGTCGCTGTGTGTCTTTCTGACAATGTACTCAATCACATATCGTCGTAACCGATTCAGGCTCGTAAGCTTGAGCCACGCCGCTTCATTTGAAGATCAATTGGAAGCGGAAGTCAATAGTATATGCGGGGTCGCTAACCGCAATTTCTTGACCATTTTCAACCAATTCCTTCAGCTTTAGCTTCAGATTGCACCGGGTCTGCTCCTCTAGCTGAGGCGGGAAGCGCTGGTAGAGTGTCTTTTCTTCCGTTCTCATACTCGGCTTCTTGAGCTGGGCCTCGGCTCGCTCACCAAGACTCTCTATGAATTCCTCCAGCGTCATGTTCGGGTCCACAGTCATCTTTCGCGCCAGGTTGCCGCAAACAGGGCAATCTGGTTTCCTTTCCGCCTCAAATGTGTATGTGTAGACCCCCTCTTCACCAGCGTACATCATATAGTTCTCCAGGTAAGGGTTGCAGGAGGTAGCGATTTTCAGTGCTTCTGACGTGGTCGCGGCTGCGATGACGGCGTTTGTCGAAGCAATAGCGGGAATGATATTCTTGACCACGCCTTGGGTCATTTGAAAGGTTACGCCGTGGATGTGGAACTGGGTTGCCCTTTCAAGGGCGGCGTTATAAACCCAGCTGATATGTTCCATGTCATCACTGTCAAACGCGTCGTCCTTGCGCTTCTCTTGCCAGGCGATTTGGTGAGCCCACTCGATGCAATGCTGAGGCTGTCTGGGGATAGTTGCAATGGTGCAAAGGGGAACAGCAGGTCGAGGAGCATGCATATCTAGCTGGCATTCAATGCATGAAGACAGCGTTGGAAGAATCACACGGGCCTGGCCCTTGAAACCTACTTATGATTAGTATAACTTTGTGACGATATCGATGGCGTCGGATGGCTTTACCTTCTGTTCCCCCGTCAATGAGAGGCTTCAGACTCTCGGGATTCTCCGGATCAACCATCCCGATAAGAGTGGAATTGATCCACCGTCTGGCCTCGATACTATCCAAACCACAGACGATGATCTTGAATTGCATGTAGTAATCCTCGTCCTTGTCCTGAATCTTGCCGACATACGGCGTGATCTTGACACCCTTAACTCGATTCTCTACAAATGCTGCAGCGACCTCTGCCTTAGGCTTGCCGATGTCAGTTTGCCGGAACAGGAACTGCCGGTTCAAGTTGGAGATGTCAATCGTATCTTTTTGGAGTTAGACCAACGGATTACACAAAGTCGTATGGTGATAGGACACACTTACCCATGTCTATAACGTGAATATCCTTGAATCCTGACAAGGCAAGGTTTTTGAGAATTTCGCATCCTAAACCACCCGCGCCACTGTATCAAATTCATCAGTGACTTGATCATGGTCGTAGACAACAATCTCGGACTGACATCACTCTGGCCTCAAGTTAGCAAGTTGATATAATCATCACCTGGCAATCACGTACAGGATCTTTGACGATTCCAAGGCGCCTATCGTCTCCGGACCAGGAACCCAGTCTTCATCGCTGTAAGGACCTGGTTTCGACAAGACAGAGTAAAGGTGCTTCCTGCTTCACGTTAATCATGCTTGCCTTGCACCCTCCGAAGTCAATGCATACCACCGAGAAGTGGAACTTAGAGATGCCATATTTAAAGCTAGAAGTCTGAACTCGGCAAATAACTGTCACTAGATACTTGTTGTGACGGTTACCGTAACTGTTTTCGAACCTGCTTCAAGACACTTTTTTTTGACCGATGTCAAGTTGCTTGAGTTCACAGCCCGGAACAGAGACCTGCCCCCGTTCAAAATTGGAAAATGAGATTAATAGCCAGTTGTATTGCGATGAATGAAGGTAACAAGCCAGCTGCGCTGTTGACTGCTCAGTAACTGGGCCCAGAACACACCGCTGCACGTGACTAATCCGCTCCATACAATCTCCTCCCACTTGAGGCATAACCATCGATTGTCTTCTAGCTTCCGAGAGACATCCAATTATCGAAAATGGAAGCTCTCATGACCGTGAAGATGATGACGCGCGATTCCAGGTCGATTTTATCGCCTGCCGCGGAAGACAATTCCGTTGATGGTCTTCAGAGCCGCCAAACTGGGTCACAGGCCGAGTTAGACAATAATTCAACATCGTCAGATTATATACTGGCGGTACTGAAGTCAAAACCTGGTCACGATAATATCGCGCAAGTACTCGCCATACTTGATCCCTCCAACAAAAAGGATCGTCCTCAAGATTTCGATATCAGGGTCCCAAGCGCAAAGACCACTCAGATCCTCAATGTCTTAGTGAACATCACGATTCCCGATCACTGGGAATACGTGAAGGAGACGAAGGGCGAAGCTAGTAAACTACGAGGCATGTTCTTGCGATGTTTCAGCAGCGTTGCTGGTCTGAGTTGCTTGGTTACTCAGCTTCGTGCTCTGATAACCGCAGCGCGAGCAGCACCTCAAAATGCGGAAGGATCGAGTAATCCTATTCGACTTGCAGAGATTCTATCGGTCATCTCTGCCCTGCTGAAACCAACAGACTTTGTGTTGCGCCTTTACAATGACATTGATGCTCTTTACACTAATGAAATCCAGAAGCAGCTGGCTTGGAAAGAAATTATTGCTCTTCTTGGTGCCAGTAAACTCCTGCCTGCTGCAGCAGAAGCCCTGACCTTGATAAAAGACCTGGAAGGCCTCGGGAAGCTCTCTTGGCTTGGTGAAGGAACTCAATATGCTTCCTGGTTGGGGGCAAATATATGTCATATTGTCTCGAGGATTAATCCTAACAATGACGCGGGGTTGAAAGCAGTTGCTCTTCTAACGGCGCGGTCATTGAGTATTGGCTACACAGGTTAAGTTCTACAATACTTTGGCAGCTTGTTCATGCTAACTCAGTTTCAAGACCACCTTGCAAGAGAAATCTATTCGGGCCTTCTATTAGACAGAGCTCTTCCAACACATTTTGACTCTTTCTATGACAAACTTCGGCCAACTGAGCAACTCGCATTTCTCGAGTCAGTATTCCGCGACCTGCAGAAGAAGTATTTCCCGGTTAGCATATCCTACCTGGACTTTGCGAATACGTCCGACCAAAACGTCGAGGGTGTTGCGGCGTTGTGCTCAATCATCATTTCGAAGCGTCCACACCTTGTGAGTCAGCTATCAGACTGGCTTGCAAAAGGTCAAGCTGGCTCAATACATACTGTCGGCCTTCGTCGAGCGTTACTAGCAGCTTTGTCGGATAGAGGGGGTAACGTCTTCCCTGGTGTCCGGCCTCTGAGGTTCAACTAATAAATGCTTTCAGAAATAATTCTAGCTCTGCTATCCAAGAGCCTTGAACAATCTGGCGATAAATTTTACATCAGACACGCCCCGATAAGCAGTCAAGAAGGTAGGCCAGAAGCCCATTGTCGGGATGTCAAAGCTTGCGCTAATATTTCTCAGCAAATGCTCAAGTTGTCCTCTTGGCTGCTGGGTGTCTTCAACGACTCGATAGCTTTGCAGTCAAGGACGCAGGCCGTTCTAGTATTTTCCTGAACACCATCTCGAATCGTTTAGCAGCCTCGTCCACGAAAGCCCGCTTTCTCGGTATGATCATTGGCACCGCAATTTCGCAACTCATTGAGGAGCCAGGAAAAGCTATGAAATTTGGCCTTGAAGAGATGGAAAGCGACGAAGCAGTCTCGTATCTGGACTTAGTCAAAAAGGCAGATCGCGTTGGATCTTTGGATTATATCAAAATATCAAAAGAACAATCACCTAAGGAGCCTCGTTCACCAGCTCAAAGACCGTCTTCTTCGCGAACTGAGGGTGTGGGAGCCTCCAACGCACAATCGGTCAAGATTGTGTCAATAGAAGAGATTGGGGACTCAGAGAATGATGAGAACGAAGAGGATGATGATCTGATACCGTACGAGAAACCTGACGACGATCCATCGGATTCCGACGATGATCCAACTCTTGTACAACGCAACAAACCAACACCACCAGTGTAAGTTGATGGAACTACATTGCGAAAGATACAGACAACTGACTCGAATAGATACATTCGCGATCTGATAGCTGGCTTACGGGATACGGATAATCTCGAACGATATGATTTGGCCGTGACCACTGCCCCTTCTCTGATTCGACGCAAGACTGGCTTCGGAACCGAGCTGGCTGAGAATGTAGAGGAGCTGGCTCTTGTCCTGGTCGGACTGCAGGAGCAGGCTAAACTCCCTAAATTCCATGAATGTCGGTTACAGAGCATGATTGCTCTGATCGTATCGCAACCGCTGAAAATGGGCCGCTGGTTTGCGGCGGTATTCTTCGATGGAGACCTGTCCCAGACCCAGCGGTCCGCGGTTCTCACGGCGTTGGGTCTAAGTGCTCGCGAATTAGCAGGGAACGGTGAGGACGATGCCCGGACGCTCGGGTTGCCAACCTTACCCGACACTTCCTTTCCAACCAGAAGGTTGCCGGCAAACGTGGAAGACCTGTATTTAACGAATGAATCCCCCATCGCGAGTCTCACGAAGACCCTCTCAAAGGCGTCCCTTGAACCACTCGCAGCTCAAGCTGCAGACGCCGTATCTGGTCCAAATGCACTCAAGGTGCGAACATTTTCGTCGCGAATGGAGGTCGAGAAGAAACGTCAGCAGCGAGATGCGCAGCGACAAAAGTCGACGGTCAAGGACGTCCACAAAGTCTTGTCAGAGGGCTTCTTCTATCCTCTAGCAGGTCGCTTCGGATTAATGATGACGCAATTTTCCTCGTAAGAGCTCGAGTCTTCTCCATAGGCTGACGGACACCAGTTGACAAATTTCCTCTATCACAGGTCAACCGCGCCCTCGTACAACCCTTTTCTCATTCCGCATCTCCTCTGTCTCTTTATCCAGACACTGACACTCATCCTTTCCACCATGGGTCCCCACAACCCGTACCTTCCTAATCTCACTCAGGAGACGTTGACTTTTCTCCTTTCACTCTACACACGACCGCTTTCGGATGACCCTTCGATCGTCTCCGCACTGCTCTCGCTGTTCCTCGCAGTAGTGGACTTAAACGTCGCCTCAGGCTCCTCCGGCGAGGAACGACTTGTCACGGAATATGCGACTCAAGTAATCGAGTTGCGGGAGTGGGCCGGGTCAGTCTTTGATCGAACTGTGGCGGCACAGGGAGTGGATGACCCTCGGGAGCAGGTCAGACTATTAGCCGCAGGAGTCATGGTGAAATTGGGTGAAGTGACGGAGAGATATCAAGGGCGGTTAATGGGTGTCAACTCTGGGTTTAAGTATTAGATCTAAATAGTCCGCCCATATCTATGCGTTTGAAAATGGAAAAAGGTACTCACACGTTGTTGAAGGGTGGTGGGACAACTGGGTAAGTCAATATACATACGCTATCAATGATCATACAGCATTCGTGGTTTACGTTGACAGGATCGTTATTAAAATTAGTCGGTGTACAGGACACTGGCTCCGCCGAATTTGCCAGTCCGAAAACATGCCTCTTACCCCTCGGTCTTTGCAAAACTTCCCTTCTCGATGGCTGCCTCCATCATTCGGTCGCCGTTGATGATGCTCGTTGTGCAAATGACAATCCTCCGTCGCGGGGCTTCCTGAGCTGCGATGAATCGCAGAGCCGCAATCTCTGTGAAGGTCGCTCCACCTAGGAGGAATACGTACACAGTCTTGGTTGCATTGTTGCCGCTCAGCGTCTGTCGCGCACGAACTGCCTTATCATCTCCCTTCTGAACAATGCTGAACGTCGCGCCACGGGCGCTCTTTACAACGTCCTCGAATCCCAGCCAGCCGGGGGATGCAGTGCTTGCAGGGGTGGAGGTAGCAGAGGCAGAACCGCCCTTGACGAGTGAGAATATGTACGGCTTCTGCAGAACGCATTGGACTAGACGAATGCTGAGTGGAGCGAAGCCGCTATATACATAGGCAATGTCGTTCGGGTCCTTCTCACTGACTTCTTCTACCAGCAGGCGTAGATTCTTCCGTAAGTAGTTATAATTCGTCTTAGTCCCTGGCTGAGCACCAGCAGTCGAAATAAGCATGGTGGGGCCCGAGGAACGTGGCTGCAGGAGCTCCATTTTCTCCAAGGCACAGAAGGTCAGTAGGTGCTGATGTCCGTAGGCGTGGACAATTTGCTTCTTGAAATTCTCGAGATCTCGGGGACGAAGTCCGCCTGACATGCACGACTCCAGGCACAGCAGACGTAAAACAGTCTTGAGAGGCACATCCCTGCCAATCAATTCTTCGATGGCATCATGTTGATACGTTGGGTCAGTGCCCGCAGCATTATTTTGCTGGACTTCAAGAATTTTGCGGAAGATATCTGAGCGCGTATTTCTCATTATCTCTTGGGCGAGGTTCGTGTGAACGCGAAGACTTTGGTGTTCCAATTGATAAGTTGGCAATTTATTCACGAATTCACGTAACTCTGAAGGCGTCTTGGCCGCATGACGAGTCTCATACTCGCTTTCTAGACGCCGGGCGACCTTATTCAGAATATCGCCGACTATGGCGAAGTTTGCATCACGCACTTGACTAAACAGTTGGTCAGAAGAATCCAGTTGAATCTTCCGCTTCTGTCCATGCTTCAGGGTTTGTTGAGGAGCTTTGGAAGACTCCTGGGCCTGGGGAACAGAGTTGGCTCCAACGATAGCCGTATCAACATCTGCCTGGTTGTTCTTGATTCCGACAAACTCGTCAATTAAGCCCTCGTACGTGAGCTGCGTGAGCAGGGGAGTGCCAAAGTCCACCTCCCGGTCAATAATGATCAGACTTTCGGTACTCGCACTGGGCAGAAGTCCTCTTGCAGAAAGGTCCGCCAAACCGGAGCTCTCTTCAGCATCGAGCTCCTTTCTCATCCGCAACAGAAGGTCTGCGAGTCGGCGCGCGTGATCTCCCTTTCCAATGATTCGAGGAAAATAACCCTGTCTTTGCTGGATATCCATGAGAGCCTTCGCGGCGAGGAAGATACAACCTGGATCTTTATGCTGTGTGATGATAAGTAAATTGGTTGAAGTGAGAGAATTTTCTTGCACTTACCAAGTACAGATCACTGAAGGAGTCGTCCAATTCCAGGGAAAGGACATCTTGTTCGAGCGGTACAAAATACAGTGGAAACTCGGTGATATTCACATCGCCAATGATTCCTGCATCTTCCAGGATCTTATTGCTTACAAATGTTCGTCTGGGTGCCCAAAATATGGAAAATTCATGCTCAACATTGCCGTTCTGCTGTAGACGTTTGATTTGCTCTATAGAGAAGTATGTCAGCTCATTCTGATGGCATTCTATCGGACATTTTAGAGAAAGAAAGCCTTAGGGATGAGCTCCAGTAGTAGCCTCTTGATGAGGACACGGATTGTTTTATATAGGGAACGTGACTGACTACGTAGAGTGTGAATGATTCTGCGTAATCTACTGATGTCCCATGTGTCCTGGCCCGAAAGGAGGCCAAACAGATAATGCAGGCAATGGTTTACAAGAAATAGAGCCGAGACGACATACCTGCTGCTGTTCGCACCTGGCGTATCTTCTCGGCATGGACTAGGAAGACGACATTGCGTTGGGATGAGTCAACATTGGCATTCTCGAGCAGAAAGACTCGATCTACGCCGTATTCCTGGAGTTGGGAGAATTTGACGAAGATCCCAACTGGGCCTGCCAGATTTTGGCTGATGACAAGATTCTTCTTACCACGCACCTGCCCGTGTAGTTCTGATTTAGCTCAATTCGGCTTCCTGTAACATCGATGCTGTTGAGAAGGGGACGACCAGGAAGGAGCCTCACTCACGCCTTCAAGGAGGGTCAACAAGTCCCTCCGCGCCTTGTCCTTGATATAGTCAGCATCAGACCCAGGATACGGCGCCATGGTTTCTGTGGAGCCTCCCAGACGTGGTGGTTTCTCAGCAAACCAGAGAAGTAAATAGGCAGAGAGAACAGGAGTACGTTTGCCGCAGTTCTCTGAGGCGTCGAATTTGGCTCAGCCATCCCAGCTAACTATGATTGGATTAGCGTTGTCACCGCCTCTCTCTGCGCCACAATACATGTCTCATACACTGTTACCACATACTTTAGTTGAACACTACCCAGCATATTCATGTATTGTTGTATTTGTATTACTTCTCCGGGTCTCGACGAGACCCCCTCAATTTAGATGAGTTGCCTGAAACTCCCCTGAATGTGCCAACTACATTTAACATCTTCTCAGCCTTCACCCACCACCTCTTCTTATTTAGACTGTTTTAAACACTCCCACTGTCTTTTTTGTCTTTCCCTGTCCTGTCCGCCGTTTCCCCTGATACCCCTTTCATTCCTACACCTCCCTGGCAATCCGCAATGGGCTTGTTCAAGAAGTCCGGCGACGACGATGACTCGTCCAACCGCCGGGCCCTCTTTGGGTCCCGGTCGAAGAGCAAGAGTCCAGCTCCTCCTGCGAACCCGTATGCGAAGCCCGCACCAATTGACCCGTATACCAGAGCCAAGATGAACGCTGGAGTAGCCCCTCTTCCGCCCTCCGAACAGCCTGCTGGACCAGGCTCGATGAAAGGACGCTCCCCCGCTGGCACTCCCGCACCTGGAGGCATCCCAGGCGACAATAAGCTTCAAGGCTATGCTCCCAACCAGTATGGCAATCAAGGCGGATACGGGGCTGATCGATTCGGTAACGCTGGTGGCGCATCGACCTCCCGATACGGCCCTGGTGGCTATGGAGGATTAGGCAGCACCGATCCGAATGACTCCGCTGCAGCAGACAGAGACGCACTTTTTGGAGGAGCCAGGGACCGTGAACAACAGCAGCAACAGAATGGTCCTCCGCCTCCATACTCAGAACCAAACAATGCTTACGGCGGCGGAAGCAATGAGTACAACTCTTCCACCTATCAGGAGAGACAGCTCACTGCGGAAGAAGAGGAAGAGGAGGAAATTCAGAACATCAAGCAGGAGATGCGATTCGTTAAGCAGGGCGATGTCGCATCCACTCGCAATGCTCTGCGCGTCGCCGCGCAGGCTGAGGAAACCGGCCGCGAAACGCTCGCCCGCCTTGGAGCCCAAGGGGAAAGAATTCATGACACCGAGAAAGCCTTGGATGTCGCGACTATTGAGGGCCGACTTGCTGAAGAGAAAGCAAAGGAGCTGAAAACTCTCAATAAGAGCATGTTTGCGGTGCACGTGTCAAATCCATTCACTAGTGCCAGTAGACGACGGGAGCGGGACGAGAAGATCATTGAGACCCATCGTGCTGAACGGGCAACTCGGGAAGGCACGCGCAATGAGGCATATCAAACCAACCAACGAATGGAGCGCACATTTAGGGAAATTGAGAGGGAAGCGGGTAAACCACATGGCAAGAACAGGACGAATGTCACGGAGCGTGCCAAGTATCAGTTCGAGGCGGACAGTGAGGATGAGGCTATGGAGGATGAGATTGAGCAGAATCTGGATCTTCTGTCCGGTGCTGCCAGTCGCCTGAATGGACTTGCTCGTGCCACAGGCCGCGAACTTGACGAGCAGAATAGACACCTGGAGCGAATCATGGGCAAGGTGAGTGTTCTTGCTTGCTTCTCTAGTGTTTGCTGACTTACTGACATTGCTACAGAGCGATTTCGTCGACGATCAAATTGCTATGAACCGCGCCAAGCTGGACCGTATTCATTAAGGCTCTGCTCGTCTATTCATATTTAGTCGTGCGGATGCACCCGTAGGCCGCCTGGTGCAGTCGACGCCGGTTGATGATTCACATCTCGAACTATATGTTTTCTATGCATATCACTGTCTACCATTTCTCGGCGTTCTCGGCTTTGTGGCCTGCTGGAGCGTCCATACTGAGTGTTCGAGCTAGCTGTATATTCGCGAGACCGATCACTCTGATTAATAGACCCATCAATCTAATTACTACCTCAAGGAACGATTTGTTAATTCTTCGTGAAGCTGTTTGAATGACGTCCTGTCATGTCCACGCTGTATATACAACAACTGACTGATGCGAGCCTTGCAATGTTTTGATTGTCTTTCGAAGGTGGTCCGCTACATTGAATCGCTACGCCCCAAGGATGAGATGTATGCCTAGCTCTCCTTTCCACAGTCGATACTCAGATCCCTACACACCCTCGCACCAGATGGACACAGTATCTTATACCATCTGACATTGTTTTCTGTGCACAGAAAGCCAACCACCCATCGCATGTCAAAGTCTAGGACATAAGTTCCATTGCTTCTCCAAAGCCCGATCACTATCTTTCGTCCGTCTACTCCTCGATGACCAGCACTGGATCTGCAGTTCATTCGAGACCGGCATGTATACAATCCGTTTTCAACATGAATAGCCCCAACCTCAGGCTGCAACGTAATCTTACTCCATCCTCATACTCGCCTACGGAGGACAGGGTACAGACTATAGTACAACCCCACCTACTCACTCTGCATGACCAACAGCGTCATCATTCATCAAGAGAGAATATTGTAAAATGGAGTAATCCACCCTCCCAAACCCCAAACTCACCTGTACTGCGTCCCATCAACCAAATACCTCCGCCAACTGGTCAACCCCTCTTTGCCACTGGACCCGATGCCAAGCATATCACAATGCAGGAGACAGAGGATGTGCCGCGTAAGCCCATTCACCACCGCTCTTGTCATGTGCGGGCTTGCGGCCTTGGCAGCCGTCCCTGATTCGAACTGCTTTTGAAAATATTGACCCTGATTGGTCATGGACGTAAGCATTCCAGTCGTCATTACTCATTGCAGATGGAGAGTTTTCTTGCATTATTCATGATTGGGCATGAGTTCCTGCTCTCAAGCCAGATTGAGCAATCCAAGAAAGAAGTTAGGGAAAGTTGGGCAATCCTTCCTTAAAGAGGTGATGAGGCTCGAGCGTTGAGGGCCTGATCGGGCGAGGGTTTTACTTGTGGCTTTTTCTTCCTCCTTTTTGAGGTCGGAGGACAGGACCCTTGGAGTTGAGCCAGCTGGGTAAGCTATGGGGTACGTACTACGTACTCCGAAGCTCTAGCAAAGCACGAATCAACATGCTGACCTGATTCTGATGTTCGCTGGTTCTGACTCGCCATTTTGGGCCAGGAGAACTGCCCCCTAAGAATGAAACAGGGGCGATAGTCCTTTGAAAGGCGAAGTATATAGATAGTAGTCGAACCATGGCATAGGTCATACGTCGCCTGCGTTGAGGGTTCCTTGTTGCTTCCTCTCTGCTACAGTCCATTGGATATTGTCCCCGAAAGAGTGTACGTACTCTCTCTTTACAGAGACGAATTTGAGTGGTCAAGTCTCATTCTTGTTCTTTATATGTACTCCGCAAAGCAGCATGCATTGTACCTACGTGAAAGCCTGCAGTGGAATAATAAGACGGACAGACTTACATACATACCTACCTACATGCATACCTATTACTTACTCCGGAACGTATGTCCAACTGTAAGTACAGACCTTGACTCCTAGCAAGATAGGTATCATGGCAGTACCTATGTGTAGCACAATCCCTACCAAGTACCCACCCTTCGTGGGTGGTTAACCTGTTATGGAGGATTGTCCGGTCCGCGAGCTATAGCTCGTCTCATGTTCCTCCTTTAGCACTCAAGGGTAAGAGAACTAGCAAGGAATTTATTTCCGATGTGTTCGTATGAAGAGAGTTTATTGTTGTCCTTACTAAGAGGGATCGCAAGCTTTTGACCCATGATTTTGGGTTTATGTGAGGTTGCAGTAGATACTCTGTACACAGAGTAAAAAACTGGGGAAAAACTTTGAAAATCTCTTTGACTATGCAATTCTTAAGGCATTAACAAACCTCCTCTCATAGCCTTCGCATAAAATTGACTTTTGAGTCATCGGACAGCAGTACGCTGTAGCACATGCTCAATAATGCTAGAGCATGGCAGTGCTCCCAAAGAATCTCTTCCCAAATGTCCACCCAATGACATCGGCCAAGGAAGTCTGCTGTCCCACTTTTCTGCACACTGGGATAAGTGATTAGTAGGTACTACTCTCTCACTCTTGGCCAGACTGCTGCTGAGGAGTGTTTTGAGAAGCTTGTTTCTAACTCGGGGGTTGTCTCCAATATAGGGACCTCTTGTGCTGAGTCGCAATATGATTACGGAGTAGTTGTTGGAGACAATCAGTAGCCTGCAACAGAAATACAGGGATGCTCATCCTCCACGATTCAATGGCTGTCGTAATTAGGAATGCCGAGCCGGTCGAATACATACGAGGTCATGCTTGCGATGGTTGATTCAGATTGCAGCTCAATTATTATGAATTAGTCTATTTTAAACCTGGGTAATTTAACAGTGCGGGTTGAGATTATAGTTCCCAACTTTCCATACCTTAGCCATCTCCATCAGAAGATCAGAAGGGAACCCCCATGACAGTTATGGCTAAGTAGACATGGCGACGGGTAATCTCTTTCCTTGTCTCTCTTGTTCACTAGTGTTGGCCACCTCGCAATGCTAACTACAACAGTAATCTCCATTTCGGAAAGGTCCCAAGTCTGAAAAAATTGACCAGTCTGTTGGTGCCCAGTGGGTGGAAGACGAAGGCCTAAAGTGCTGCCAAACTAAGGCCCGTCTGAAGTTCTAAACTAAAGCTTTACAGCCTGTACCCATCTGGCCTAGCCTCTTCTGTCCTAACTCATTTTCAACCTCAAGTCGCGAGTGACTCGCGACAGGCCAAGAAATCAGCCGGCGTGTTTCAGAATGCAGCTAGGCGCAATATCCTCAAAGTAGTAGTGTAAGTGGGGTCAGCCAGGACCGCACGCAGGGTTTTAGGTAAGGCAAACGGGCTTTGCGGGGTTCAATCCAACAAATGGTGGCCCAGATTTGACGCACTGATCAAAACATTCTGCAATTGAATCTCTCTACACTA